AAGCAACCAGTTGTCTGCAAATCAACCATGCTTTGGTCAGTTTGAAAGTCCCAAGTAGCCAAAGGCCCATGTAAGCCATGCGTTGGTAAAGAGAACATCTACTACATAATATGGAACCACCCATATATTATGGATTCCATAGCGTCATTCTTTAAACAATTTTTATTGAGCTCTAATGTAGCTGGTGGTTAATATCATATCTACACAAATCATCTATAGGCAATAAGATTCAACAGGATCTAATGCAGTGTCCATAACATATGATCCTGTAAGTCGCTCTGGATAAGAGCGTCTGCTAAATGACGTAAATGTAAATGTAAATAAATGGTCTACTAATTATCAGGCTACAGCCACTGTATGACTACAGGGCCCAGAGTTTTTCCTAATCCGGTCACGTGGTTAGGAGAAACTCCTGGCCCTAAATTATAAATCGTCCGTAGTGTTTATAGTGTGTTTATTAGTGGACAGGTCATAGGATCCTGGACTGATCATGTTCCAGGAAAGAATGTGTGTGTCACGGCTGGCCAGCTGTCATGGCAAGGTGCCAGCTGAGGAGTCAGTTCCTGTAGGGCCCAGAGAGCTGAGGAAGGGTAGAGCCACCCAGTTTAGCCCTGGGTCATATTCATTTGGGCATTTTGCAATGGAAAACAATAACGAGCGTTTCTTATTGGACAAGTTCAGCTGGTCCTTCCCTGTTTCATTCTGTTGTCTTCCGTTTAGTGCCTAATGAATATGACCCAGCCCAGTGTGGACCGATGAAGAGATGAAGGGTTTAGCATCAGGCAGGTGGTAATCCTACAGGCCATTTGGAAGGGGTGGGACTGGAAGTCATCAGTTGCATCCCAAATGGCACCCTATTTCCTATATAGTGAACTACTTTTGGCCAGAGCCCTATGGGCCCTGGTCAAAAGTAGTGCACTATAAAGGGAATAGGGTGCCATTTTGGATGCAACCATCATGATGGAAGACCTCAATCATGGTCCGCTGAAAACTTACCCGGATAAAAAGATGAAAATAAAAATATACAGTACCTCTCACCATGGCAACATGGTTGGAGGGACATTAAACTGAGAAAGGCTGCAGCTTGGGCCAGGGCTGACTACTACAAAGATCACTGGCCGTAAGACTGGAGTCTTCTCAAGTTAAGATGAGCTGTCAGCAGCTGTCTTGAAACAGACACCACAGAAGGCAGGCATAAGCAGGAGCCCCTACTCCTTTCTAAAACAGGCAAGACAGGAGGGGACTTGGAGGACAAGGTGGTACAGAATACATATTAGGAACTTAGTCATTCTTCCTCAGACCTCACAGTCATGTCTCAACCCTGTAGTAGTAAAACGTCACCCTACCTCCTTTACCTCACCCATACATTTTTATGATATGTTACATCCCAGTTTAGTGAGCATTTCTCCTTTGCCATGATAATCCATCCACCTGACAAGTGTGGCATATCAAGAAGCTGATTAAACAGAATGGTCATTAATTACACAGTGCACTTTGTTCTGGGAACAATAAAAGGCCACTCTAAAATGTGCAGTTTTGTCACACAAGACAATTCCAGATGTCTCAAGTTTTGAGGGAGCGTGCAATTGGCATGCTTACTGCAGGAATGTCCACCAGAGCTGTTGCCATAGAATTGAATGTTCATTTCTCCACTATAAGCCGCCTCCGTCGTTTTAGAGAATTTGGCAGTACGTCCAACCTGCCTCACATCCGCAAACCACGTGTAACCACCCCAGTCCAGGACCTCCACATCCGGCTTCTTTGTTAGGAAAAACAAATTCTGATTGGCTGGGCCTGGCTCCCCAGTGCGCCCCTGCCCAGTCATGTGAAATCAATAGATCGGGCCTGATGAATTTATTTCAATTGACTGATTTCATTATTTGTACTGTAACTCAGTAAAATCGTTGAAATTGTTGCATGTTGCGTTTATATTTTTGTTTGGTATATTTTCTGGGGATGTGTCCTCTCTGAATCCACTGTGCGTTCTCATCCAGCTGCCAGGACTTCCAGGTGCCGAAGCTGTCCTTTTGGTAACTGTGCGTGGTATCTGGTTTCAATGCAAATTGGACAATAAATATCTTCTCTATTCTATTTCCAGACAAAGGGGAGGGTTGAAAAGTATTAAAGGCCCAATGCAGTAGAAAACATGATTTTTTCTGTCTTTTACATGTTTCCACACTATTAGGTTGGAATAATACTCTGAAATTGTAAAAATGATAATGCCCTTTTAGTGTAAGACCTGTTTGAAAAGACCGCCTTAAATTTCAGCCTGTTTTGATAGGATGGAGTTTTGGCCTTAATTAGTTAATAGACCAATAAGAAATAGAGTTCCAAACCGCTCTGCCAATAACAGTTAATTTTCAGTTTTCCCCGCCCCACTCAGACCAGTCCCAGACAGTCCTTGCAAAATTCTTGCTTGAGAAATTGCTCTTAGCTAAGAAGCCATTTTTGTTTCTTTTTTGATGATTTTAATTGAAAACAATCACAGTAAGGTACTTAACTGTTACCCAGAAATGATATTGAGATAAAGGTCCAATGCAGCTGTTTTTAAGTGGTCTAAATTCTAATATTTCCTAGCACTGAATGAAACAAAGTTGCTAACTGTAGCTCATTCAAGGACAAGGAGAGAGAGAGACTAATAACTGGGGACTCACACTTGGCGAGATAATCAGCGATCAAGTCAGCGAGATCTCCCCTGGTGGGTGTATCCTTCAAACAATTTGCATGATGGCAGTTTGGTTGTTAGCCAATGTCAAAGCTTGCTTGCAAGAGCTGCGGTCTCCCAATTGGCTGTTGTGCAGTCACGTTGCTGAAATTTGTATAAACTTGTGAAATGTTGAACACTGGTCGCTAGCTCTCTAGTTGCCAACCGTTAAGTCGCTGTGTGTCTCATGTCTTTTTCTTCCATTGAAAATGACTGCTTGCTGATAGTCTCGCCATTGTCGCCAAGTGTGAGTCCCCACTAAGGAGTCTGACACAGAAGCCATGTCGTTGTGATACAGAAAAAGACTTTTATTCTGATGTTAATGTCTCAACATTTGATACAAATCACATTCTTTTTAATAAAGAAAACCGCAATCAGAACAGTACCTGGCAGCTGGTCATTCCTCCTAGAAATACAACCATGTCACGTGGCATCCCTCTTCCCATTTTAAACCATCTCCATCTACTCAGAAAATGTGTAACATTACACTTTTACTTACTATGCCTAATCATATAGCCCAATAGTCAAACTTGAGGTCCAATTTTCCTTTGAAAATCTGTGCAAGAAGAAATCCCTTTTTCAACGAGAATGCATCTAAGGAGGAGCAATCAGTCAGCTGTTTTCTAATCAAGGTTATTAAAGAATAAAAAGGCCATCAATGAAATGTAAGGAACTGACGTGATACATTTAAAATGTGAATTAGTAACAATAGAAATTATAATATAGTACCTATTTATTTATAAAGTCTACTGGGAAACAGGTATTTGTTTTAAGGTCCACAGAATAACAAGTGCAAAACAGAAACAAAAACATAAAACTGACGTACTGGATTTTGGCACCACTTTAGGATACAGGAGAATGGGGTTCAAGGAGAACAGAAGAACGAGTGACAATAGCAATATTTTTGTGCCTCTTGGATAAAAAAATTAAGAAATTAAATAACAACTGGGGAAAAAATAACATTTAAAACGGATTTAAGGAAGAAAAAAACGTTTTTTTCTTTAAGAAAGATTTTCCCCTGCACATTTGCTCCATGGTGTCTTTCTGGTTTGTGAGTACATTTAAAAAGTGACTGACAACAAACCACAAAACAAGACGAAAATAAAAGCGTTAAAACATGCTAATACCTGCTAAGACATGACTTAACTGTTGAACTTCCCTAGGCCTGAGACCTAGACAAAATACATCTAATATACGATTTCAGATGCATCTGCATACTGTACATACAGGTACTCAAGTGCCTGTGAGTTTGTATGTACACTCCTACACACATATATTTGTTATATTCTATAGTGTCTTTAAATATGTGACCAAGAGATAGCATGTGATAGAGACAGTGGTCTGTCTAGCCCTGGAGTGCATTCTGAGGTGGTTGCCCTCACAACCTTGCCAGTGTCATATGCTCTGTACTGCCCCGTCCCAAAACAAGCCCTAGCCTTGCAGATCTATAGTGTTTATTTGCAGATCTTTAGTGTTAACACTTAACAGTATAAGTGGATCTATAGTGTTAACACTATGGTGTTTGCAGATCTAGTGTTAACACTATGGCGTATACAGATCTGAAGGTACCAGATAGGGGTAAACAACATGGTGATGGCTCCACCTAGCCTTCCAATGGGCAGTGGGGAGGTTCTACCTCCATATTGCTTCTACTTATCCTGTTCCATTAGATCTGAATGGGTAAGGGCTGGGGGCCTGTTTTTGGACCAGCCTAAGTCTCCGACAGAAGGCACTTCCGAAAGGCCCGTAAACTGTCCCCTCACGTACAGTGACCATAGAAACGCAACGAGTAGAACAGACACCATTCGCTACTGCCATGTGTGATTTTCATGGCTTTTGCTTTGCTATAGAAACACAATTGAATTGATTGATACACAGTTGCACATGCGATGCACATAGAAGTTTGGTCTGAAGCAAGAATTGATCGAAAGCTGTGAAATATTGATTGATTTGACCGATCCGTCTTTTTGGATTAAAAAAATTACAGATAAGACAAATATCGCTTGGAGAGCTTGATATCGGTTCTACAGGTTTCGTTTCTATGGCGTCAACTTCATATCAACATCAAAATCCATGATTCAATCCAACCAACAAAGTAATTACAGTTTATCAACAATATTACTCTCACTCACACACACACACATATTATTATTCCATATTTTTAGTTGTCAGTCATTGAACATGGTGTGTAAAACAGGTTGATGTCATTTGGTACACAGGTTTGTTTTAAGGGCTGATTTTGGGTCAGGGTTCTTTACTTCATATGGGGGGGGGGGGGGGGGGGGGGGGTGTAATGCACATTCAAGCAGAACATTTAACACCAATACTCAAGACTCATATTTTAACTGTAAACAGATGCATACAACGCAACATTACAAAAACACCACCATAAAACCCTTAAGGAAGACCGAATGAACTTTATCATCAACTGTCAGCGCTACCAACCTGCTCCAGAATACACAGAATAATAAGAAGATGCTCTGGTTAAGATACGAATCAACATCATAATAAAACTATATAACAAAAATATCACTAGTTTACATGTGTAATAGCTCACTGTAGTGTACCTATTGGTATAATGTGGAAGGTTTTTTAGTGTTTGTGGTGAGTGGAGATGAGAGGCGCAGTAACGCAGGGTGCAGTGGTGGCCTCCACCCTCTAGGAGCAGCCAAGGGGAGTCCACAGGACCTTACTCTGTTCCTGATCAACTATAGTCATGATCTGAGTGCAAATGTAGGGAAGAGTGCCGCCCTGGACAATACCTGTAAAGATACAGCAGAGAAAAGGTTAACAAGGTAGGAAGATGCCACACACATTAAAAGAAAAGGAAAAGCAGTCTTCATCAGGGAAGACGCCACACACAGCCACATATGCACACTCATCCACCCACATACTGTATACCACACACACACACACACACACACACACACACACACACACACACACACACAGAGATAGGCATAGCCAAAGGCAAACACGCACAGACAGACAATATAGTACAGTGCAATATGCCAACCTGTAAAGAATTTGCTATACTCCTGCTCTATCTTCTGTGCAACCTCAAACTGCTCCTTGGAATGTTTTTGAGAGACCTTGTCCCGCAGATACACTGGATCCTTCTGTTCCCTGAGGAGAGGAAACCAGCGCAGAGTATTAGGACACAGCCTCCCTACGAACACACAGACAAACCTCTACTCTCAGAAGTTGGCAGAGTACAAGAGGAAAGGAAGCCAGTTTAGAGTATTAAAACACAGCCTCTGGGTCTTTCTTAAATTGCGGTGGCATTTGGGTTTGACATTTTGGGTAATTAACCCTTTAAAAATAATTTACTAAAGTGTTATGATTATTCATTTAGCTCACAATGTCATTGCCATTCATTTAGATTGAGTAACACCAATGCCACTTTTTATTTAGACAAATGATCAATGGAATCCTCATATGTATGTGTGATTAGCTAATAATATTATTTAATATAGACCCATCCCCCGATAATAGTTTGCCACCGGAGAGAATGCTCAAGGTCCTTGTATATCTTTGTAATGATAAAACTTAGGGGCACATACCATACAGTATATGTATAAAAAAATAGCCTTTTTATTTATTGATCTATACAATATATTAAATACTTTTGTATATTTTCTAAATAATAGATAGATATCTCTAAATCCCCAAAGCATGTCACTACAACTCTACTCACTACTGGGACAATCCAAATAGTGCTGAGTGATTAATGGTCCCATTGTACAGAGGAAATCTATCCAACCTCTTCATTACTGAACGGTCAAGAAGGAGAGTAAGTTATCAAAGAACATTGAGATACAGCTAGAGGATTTCTGTGTGTGTGTGGGGGGGGGGGGGGGGGGGGGGGGGGGGGGTGTAGTCAAGAAGAAAAGGAGCCTGGGGATTTCTGACTGTGGCCGATACACTATAGCTTACCATTATAACGCTATTATTATACTGTACTTTTAAATTAGTGATAAATCCCCTTACATCCCATTCATTTCTCCAATGAGCTACTGACCCATGGGACCATCGCACGCAATAAAGCTTTCTGTGAACTCAACCACCAAGTAGAAAACACACTAAAGATAAGTCTCCATGGAATTATTTTATCTCAGACCTTAGTCTAGCTAAGAGACTCCTAAAATGGAACATAACATTTAAAAGATCTAGAATGTTTATAACACTAAAGGTCTAGTGAAGATGATGGGTTTGGCTGGCTACTTACTTGATCTGCTTGGAGTTTTTGTAGCGGATGAAGATGACGATAGGGTAAATGTGAACGCAGTGCAGCCTCTCGATGGCATGGGGCGCGATGTCTAGCAGACAGTGACAGTCCTAGGAGAGGAGGACATCTTAGTTCAGTTCTGTTTTAGGTACAACAACTGGGATCACAAGCAACAACATGATACTACATTCAGAATGGATCAAATGAAAGAGACTTCACTTCCGGTACGACAGAACGTTGTTAATTGTGATAATCCAAAAACCCAAGGAATTATTTTGAGGTGGCATAAAATCTCATATAATCTTATTCACTATTATCTTAAAAGATCAAACTGATCCTAGACCAGCCCTGACGCTGTACCTTCTCTGTTATCTCCTTGATGGAGGCCACGGTGGTCACGTCAAAATGGCCGCTCCTGCGTTTGTAGTCGATGAAGAGGCAGTCTTTGACGCCACGCTCTATAGCCTGCTGGGACGCCTTCATCACCTCTGAGGAAACCACAGACAGACGTCAGAATCAGAGAACACCAGTAACACCATGGTCATATTCATTAGGCACCAAACAGGAGAAAACAGACTGAAACAGGGAGGGACTACCTCAACTTGTACAATAAGAAATGCTAATTTCCAATGCAAAATGTCTACACACAATACCCCATGTTTTTAGAAATGTTTGCACATTTATTGAAAATGAAATACAGAGGGCGCAGCGGTCTAAGGCACTGCATCGCACTGCTTGAGGCGTCACTACAGACCCGGATTCGATTCCAGGCTGTGTCACAACCGGCCGTGACAGGGAGTCCCATAGGGCGGCGCACAATTGGCCCAGTCGAAGCTCCCATCCACTACAAGACCATGGTACAATGCCCCTTCCTACCTTCAGGCTATTCTCAAACCCAAGTATGCCGATCTGCCACCTCTGGTCTCTTGGACCTCCCACCCCTACACGATAGCAGCTCCCATTCAGCCCAGTCAAAGCTCTTCTCTGTCCTGGCACTGCAATGGTGGAACCATCTTCCCCCTGAAGCTAGGACAGTAGAGTCCCTGGCCATCTTCCAAAAACATCTGAAACCCTACCTGTCTTAAATAACTCCACAGCAAAAAAATAAAATAAAAAATCATAAACTAACACTCGCACTTCAATTGACTTTGCTGATATTTTGGAAAAATTTACTTATTATGACTAAGATATGTGGTTTCCCCCCCTAGCTATCTTAAGATTAATACACTAAGTCACTCTGGATAAGAGCATCTGCTAAATGACTAAAATGTCAAATGTTTGTATTGTTTTAGAATTATTTTAAGACAAAGGTGGCTTTTGGAGTACATGCAAAACAATGTCTGTGTCAGAAATGGCAGGGTCCCAGTCAAAAGTAGTGCACTATATAGGGAACCGGTCAAAAGTAGTGCACTATATAGGGAATAGGGTGCCATTTGGGATGCACACAATCTCTGACTTAAAAGTCAGTCCTTGTGAATTGCTCTCAGTATAGTTAGCGTTGGCAGGTTGGGGTAGGCCTATTTTGTAGCTACTTGTGTACGCTGTTGTAATGTACTCAACCAGTTTGGGGTATTATTAGTATCATATTGTGGTACTATGTTGTACTTTACTCACCCAGGACACATCTGCAGAACTTCCCGGGGGACTCTTTGACCAGCATGTCCTTGACGGGGTCTGAGAGAGGGCCGAGGATCAGGACCGGCCTGGGAGACGCACAATCTACCTTCTGGACTCGCTGGTACGCCAGGCTCACACAGTCTTGAGAGGGAGTGAGAGACACATATATATATGGTTACACACACAAATGTCCGATACCAAAATCAATCAGTGGCACCTAGGTAGAGTTACATACTACAGCCCAATACTCTATCCATGTAAAGGTGTGTGTGTCCCCTCACCCTCTAGGAATGGTATGGAGTCTGTGCTAATGGCGTCATGAGCCACCAGTTCCTTGCTGTCTTTGGAGCCGCTGCGTTTATGTTTGTGTTTCCTCCTGAAGAAGGATCGCCTGGCAGCGGCAGACAGGCTCTTACTGTCCTTGTCGTCTTTCAGCTCCGTCATACTGTGTCTACGGTAGAACTCCTGGTCCATCCTGCACAGACACAGGCACACAGAGACATACAATATAATTACACAAGAGCCATAATATAATAATAATAATAATAATAATAATAATAATAATAATAAGCCATTTAGCAGACGCTTTTATCCAAAGCGACTTACAGTCATGCGTGCATACATTTTTTTTGTGTAACGGTGGTCCCGGGGATCGAACCCACTACTTTGGCGTTACAAGCGCCGTGCTCTACCAGCTGAGCTACAGAGGACCACAGCCATGACTCGTGTGTGTGTGTGTGTGTGTGTTTACGTCTGCATGTCGGAGTGTGTGTGTCTCACATGTATTTGCTGGGTATCTGTCCTCTCTGGATCTGCTGTGCGTTCTCATCCAGCTGCCAGGCCATCCAGGTGCCAAAGCTGCCCTTTGGTAGAGTATCATCCACATACATGATGTCATCCTTCTTAAAACTCAGGTCCAGCTCTGCCTCCACTGTCCGCTCATAAAGTGCTCTGGAGAGATGGAGGGAGAGGGTAAGGAGGGATAATAAGAGGAAGGGAGGGAGGGGGAGGAAGAGGAGGGGAGGAAGGAAGAGAGGGTTAGTATGTGCGCACACGTGTGTTCAGTGTGACAGTTTGTGTGCGCTTGCAGTAAGGTTGGAGCCCCAACTCTAAGTGTATCTGTGGGGCGTATTTACTGCCGATGACATCACGACCCGGCCTGTATGACTAGTGACTGCGGCTGCCATGCAGAGACTCAGGCAGCATCCCAAATGGCACCTTATTACTTATATAGTGCACTACTTTTGACCAGAGCCCAATGGGGCCTGGTTTAAAAAAAAAAGTAGTGCACTATATAGCAAATAGGGTGCCATTTGGGACACAAAAATTCAGCTTTCTACAGACTTCTAACAACAAACAGCTGCACTTACCAACAGACTTCCCCCTAATCCTCTTCATTCACAGCCTGCATCTATGGTCTGTCTCAGTCTGCCTAGAGAGTCTGCTTAGAGAGTCTGCCTACACATGCAAAGTGACAGACATGCACACACTCTACAGGGGCATTTAACCTGGCCCAATGAAGAGAGACAGTCTCCTTGGTCTGTCTGCTGGTAAACCAACCCTACTGTGTGAGATAGATAGAGATACTATCTAAGTGATAATGCCAGAGAAGACAGTGTTTGTTGGATATATTGGCACGGGTGTTCGTTGAGGGCCAACAAACCGTGCCAATATATCCAACAAACACCGGTTTCGAGGGCCTTATCACTTAGAGATACTACCTATCTAACGGTTACCAACATATTCAAATATATATCCATAAAAATGATGCCAGCTGATTCATGATTTTCCAACAGTTGAGAAACGCTGCCTGCCTCTCGGTCTCGTCCCGACTCCCAACACGTTCAATACTATGAGACAGCAGGAGATCTAATTTGAATTTGAAACAATTTTGCAAATGTCGGAGAGACAGACAGCAAGGTTTATAAATCTCCACTGCTCAAAACTAAATGTTAGTCTAAAATGTTTTTTGAGATAATGTCTAGATGCTTTTTAAAGTGGAGATCAAGTTTATAAAGTGCCTGACTGGGTTGATGAGACAGTGGATTTCGCAGTCAGATGGAACCGTGTAAATAGGCATTTTAACGTCATAGATTTAGCTGGTGGTAACTTGTGGAATAGACACCAGCTGGAATTGGGGTTTAGCCAATCAGCATTCAGGATTAGACCCACTCGTTGTATAAAGTGAGATAGATGGTCTTCCTGGATGTGGGACCCAATTGCTTTAGATGAAGAGATAGCTCCTCTCCATGGGCTTCACTGGTGCCTTCAGAAAGTATTCAAACCACTTGACTTTTTTCACATTTTGTGTTACAGCCTGAATTTAAAATGGATTAAATTGTGATTTTGTGTCAAAGTGGTATTGTGTTTTTAAAAATGTTTACAAATTAATAAAACATTTAAAAAGCTGAAATGTCTTGAGTCAATATGTATTCAACCCCTTTTTTATGGCAAGCCTTAATAAATTAATGAGTGAAAATGTGCTTAACAAGTCACATAAATCGCATGGACTGTGTGCAATAACAGTGTTTAACATGCTTTTTAAATGACTCCCACATCTCTGTATCCCACACATACAATTATCAGTAAGGTCCTCAGTCAAGCAATGAATTTCAAGCACATTTCAAAGATCAGGGAGGTTTTCCAATGGTTCGCAAAGAAGGGCACCCTTTGAGCATGGTGAATTTATTAATTACACTTTGGATGGTGTATCAATACACCCAGTCACTACAAAGATACAGGCGTCCTTCCTAACTCAGTTGCCCGAGAGGAAGGAAACCGCTCAGGTATTACACCATGAGGTCAATGGTGATTTTACAACAGTTTAATGGCTGTGATGGGAGTACACTGAGGATGGATCAACCACATTGTAGTTACGCCACAATCCTAACAAAAAAATGACAGAGTGAAAAGAAGGACGCCTGTACAACATAAAAATATTCCAAAACATGCATCCTGTTTGCAATAAGGCACAAAAGATATTGCAAAAAAATTGCCAAAGAAATGAACTTTTTGTCCTGAATACAAAGTGTTTGGGGATAATTCAACACAATACATTACTGAGTACCACTCTTCATATTTTCAAGCATGGTGGTGGCTGCATCATGTTATGGGTATGCTTGTCATTGGCAAGGACTAGGGTGTTTTTAGGATAAAAAGAAACGGAATAGATCTAAGCACATACAAAATCCTAGAGGAAAACTTTGTTCAGTCAGCTTTCTAACAGACACTGGGATACAAATTCACCTATCAGCAGGACAATAACCTAAAACACAAGGCCAAATATACACTGGAGTTGCTTACCAAGACAACATTGAATGTTCCTGAGTGGCCTAGTTACAGTTTTGGCCTAAATCGGCATTGAAAATCTATGGCAAGACAATGATCAACATGGTGCAGTAAAATTTGATTTGATTTTGATTTGACCAACCAACTTGACAGAGCTTGAATAATTTTTTTAAGAATAATGGGCAAATATTGTACAATCCAGGTGTGCAAAGTTCTTAGAGACTTATCCAGAAAGACTCACAGCTGTTATCGCTGCCAAAGGTGATTCTAACACGAATTGGCTCAGGGGGTTGAATATTCATCCAATCAAGATACTGTATATTAGTTTTATTTTTCATTACAAAAAAAAGAAAATACATTATTTCACTTTGACAGAGTAGTTGGTTGCCCAAAACATTACAATTAAATCCATTTTAATCCCACTTTTGAACAACAAAATGTGGAAAAGGGGGTGTGAATACTTTCTGAAGGCACTGTATATAGAAGTGGAGGTGCATGGAGGTACAGTAGACCGCATAGAGGGAATCACGAAAAACAGGCATTTTGGGGACAGGTTGTGTGTGTTTGTACCTGATATAGAAGCCGTCCCCCGGTGTGTCTTTGACAATGTTGAAGTCGTCCGGTCGTTGTTGGACTTTGAGAGTGACCGTCTCGGCCGGCTTCAGCATCTCTACATACACCTCCTCCACAGTCTTGTTCTTCATGTTCACAGACCCATACTGAGAGAGAGAGAGAGAGAATTTACATTCCCCTTTACTGGTTCAACATCATACATTACACAAACAAATGGAAAAGACAAACTTTCAAATTTCAACCATCAAAAACGAGAACGAAAAGAGGGAGATAGTGTGAGTGTGCACGAGAGTGTGAGAGATAGAAAGAGCGAGAGACAGACAGACAGATACAGAGACAGAGCAACAGTGTGAGAGATACAGAGCGCGAAAGGGAGATGGAGAGGGTGAGAGAGATGAGTGATAGATATTGGCAGTGTCTAGACCAATCAGTAAATTCATTTCAAAGCCCTGGGCTGGTCCAGAGAGTAAACACTGTCTCCTTCACACTCAGTGGCTTTTGGATTGTAAGACTGTCTATTGAGTAGTGAGGAGAAGAAGAAGGAGAAGAAGAGGGAGGAGGGAAGCCCCTTGGCTGTATGAAGTGTCTGTCTATTGATTTGTTCTGGAGAGGAGGAGGAGGAGGAGGATGATGACCAAAGATGAGAGGAGGAGGAGAATTGCCAGGGAGATGAAAGGTTTAAGTTCTACTGTGTGTTCTGTCCTGATGACAAAGCTCTAGGCCTGTTTGGAGAACAGAGCTTATAGTGACAGGAAGGGAGCATGCCAGGAATGGGATAGTATGAGTTAGCTACCTTCGTCTCTCTGTATAGATAGATTGACCGCAGTGTCATGATAGAGAAAGGGAGGCGGGGCAATCGATGAAGGAACAAAGACAGGCAGGGAGAATGGTGATGGGCTTTGGAAGAGATGCTGCAGAGTGCAAAATTGTCACTTATAAAAAGGTTATTATACACTGTGTGTGTGTGTGTGTGTGTGTGTGTGTGTGTGTGTGTGTGTGTGTGTGTTTGTATGTTCGGGATGTGCACGATTATTCAAATATCCGAATGGGAATAATAATAAAAATATCCTAATATAGGCCTATTTTAACCAGCTTTTTACACTGAAAAGGCTTTTTCTTAATTAAATTCAAATATCCATGTGACATTGTTACATACAAGGATATACCATATTTCAAATCATTAATTTAATAAAACAAACTTTTCAAAGTAGTTTATAATGTGCACGGTGCCCCATAAAAAAGACTGGTAGCCTTCACGTGTGTAGCTTGTTTATGTTGGCCACTCAAAGTGGCAAAGAGGCTCAATGTGTAGCAAGTGGAGTAAGCGTTCACTAACGCAATGCAAAATGGAAAACAATTGCGGAATTAAAAGTTAGTGAAATAAGAAGGAGTAGGCTACAACGAGAAACCAACAGGTAGGCTGTTTTACTTGAATGGGGTTGGGAAGAAAGTGCAGCATGTGGCCTTAATTAGCCTAGCTATCTATAGCTGGGAAAAACTATTTTCATGCCACTTTGATACCGAAGTTACTTTTTCGTAGCAGGTTAGGCGAATTAATGTAGCAGGTTAGGAGACTGAGGTTAAGGTTAGGAAAACGCTGAAAAGCAACTGAGCAAGAGGACAAATACAATGCAAAGAAAAAGCCATATCTCAGACTGCCCATATTAATCTTTTCTTTTTATTGGCCAGTCTGAGATATGGCTTTTTCTTTGCAACTCTGCCTAGAAGGTCAGCATCCCGGAGTCGCCTCTTCACTGTTGACGTTGAGACTGGTGTTTTGCGGGTACTATTTAATGAAGCTGCCAGTTGAGGACCTGTGAGGCGTCTGTTTCTCAAACTAGACTCTAAAGTATTTGTCCTCATGCTCAGTTGTGAACCGGGGCCATCCACTCCTCTTTCTATTCTGGTTAGAGCCAGTTTGCGCTGTTCTGTGAAGGGAGTAGTACACAGCGTTGTACGAGATCTTCAGTTTCTTGGCAATTTCTTGCATGGAATAGCCTTCATTTCTCAGAACAAGAATAAACTGACGAGTTTCAGAAGAAAGTTAGTTGTTTCTGGCCATTTTGTGCCTGTAATCGAACCCACAATTGCTGATGCTCCAGATACTCAACTAGTCTCAAGAAGGCCAGTTTTATTGCTTCTTTAAATCAGCACAACAGTTTTCAGCTGTGCTAACATAATTGCAAAAGGGTTTTCTAATGATCAATTAGCATTTTAAAATGATAAACTTGGATTAGCAAACACAACGTGCCATTGGAACACAGGACTGATGGTTGCTGATAATGGGCCTCTGTACGCCTATGTAGATATTCCATAAAAAATCAGCCGTTTCCAGCTACAATAGCCATTTACAACATTAACAATGTCTACACTGTATTTCTGTTCAATTTGATGTTATTTTAATGGACAAAAAAATTGCTTTTCTTTCAAAAACAAGGACATTTCTAAGTGACCCCAAACTTTTGAACGGTAGTGTACATGTATTTCGAATATCCAGATAAAATGAATGATACTATTCGAATAGTGAAATTATTTCAAAACCCCATCCCTAGTGTGTCTCAAATCAAATCTGCGCACATGCTGGTTTATGTATAACCTACCTCCAGTATGAGGTCCCCAGGCTGCAGCCCCTCTGGTCCCCTAGCAGGGCTGTCCTCCTCCAGACTCTCTACATAGACCCCCCGGAGGTTCCCTCCACACAGCCCCAGCCCCAGCTCTGCCCCCTGGGCCCTGCGCACAGTCACCACCCGTGGTTCACACACCTTGCGACTACTCTCTGACGACATCCTGGAGGGGGAGGAAAGAATAAGAATACTTTACTAATCCTTACGAAACGAAAATGTGTCTTCTGCTGTATCCAATCCCTGCAATATACACACACATTACGTTAAAGAGGCTGGAGCAGTCAGAGGTGGGCCGGTCAGAGGTGTGTGTGTTACCTGATGAAGCTATGAGGACTAGTTGTAGGTGTGGTCTGTTTGGAGGAGGGGGTGAGTGTTCCTTCGTCCTGTTCACTCAGAGTGTCTATAGTAGAGTGGTTGTCTGGGGTGGTGGCTCCACTGCCCTGGGGAGTCGATTGGCTGCTCACCGGCTCCAGACGAGAACTACACATGCATAGAGCGAGAGAAACAGAAACCTTAATACCTCAGTCAAATGAATGGGAGAGATTGGTGCCATCTATTTAAATGGGATACAGACGTGCCAAATGATGCCTGTATATTTCTCCAAATGATTACTATGGGATTTACATAATAAATGTCATGGCATGGTCAGAGGTCAACTTTACACCACTTTTGAACTATGAATGAGTCTAACATTTTGTCTTTGATTACTTTTATATATACACTGCTCAAAAAAATAAAGGGAACACTTCAACAACACAATGTAACTCTAAGTCAATCACACTTCTGTGAAATCAAACTGTCCACTTAGGAAGCAACACTGATTGACAATACATTTCACATGCTGTCGTGCAAATGGAATAGACAACAGGTGGAAATTATAGGCAATTAGCAAGACACCCCCAATAAAGGACTGGTTTTGCAAGTGGTGACCACAGACCACTTCTCAGTTCCTATGCTTCTTGCCTGATGTTTTGGTCACTTTTGAATGCTGGCGGTGCTTTCACTCTAGTGGTAGCATGAGACGGAGTCTACAACCCACACAAGTGGCTCAGGTAGTGCAGCTCATCCAGGATGGCACATCAATGCGAGCTGTGGCAAGAAGGTTTGCTGTGTCTGTCAGCGTAGTGTCCAGAGCATGGAGGCGCTACCAGGAGACAGGCCAGTACATCAGGAGACGTGGAGGAGGCCGTAGGAGGGCAACAACCCAGCAGCAGGACTGCTACCTCCGCCTTTGTGCAAGGAGGAGCAGGAGGAGCACTGCCAGAGCCCTGCAAAATGACCTCCAGCTGGCCACAAATGTGCATGTGTCTGCTCAAACAGTCAGAAACAGACTCCATGAGGGTGGTATAAGGGCCCGACGTCCACAGGTGGGGGTTGTGCTTACAGCCCAACACCGTGCAGGATGTTTGGCATTTGCCAGAGAACACCAAGATTGGCAAATTCGCCACTGGCGCCCTGTGCTCTTCACAGATTAAAGCAGGTTCACACTGAGCATATGTTACAGACGTGACAGAGTCTGGAGACGCAGTGGAGAACGTTCTGCTGCCTGCAACATCCTCCAGCATGACCGGTTTGGCGGTGGGTCAGTCATGGTGTGGGGTGGCATTTCTTTGGGGGGCCGCACAGCCCTCCATGTGCTCGCCAGAGGTAGCCTGACTGCCATTAGGTACCGAGATGAGATCCTCAGACCCCTTGTGAGACCATATGCTGGTGCGGTTGGCCCTGGGTTCCTGCTAATGCAAGACAATGCTAGACCTCATGTGGCTGGAGTGTGTCAGCAGTTCCTGCAAGAGGAAGGCATTGATGCTATGGACTGCTCCGCCCGTTCCCCAGACCTGAATCCAATTGAGCACATCTGGGACATCATGTCTCGCTCCATCCACCAACGCCACGTTCCACCACAGACTGTCCAGGAGTTGGCGGATGCTTTAGTCCAGGTCTGGGAGGAGATCCCTCAGGAGACCATCCGCCACCTCATCAGGAGCATGCCCAGGCGTTGTAGGGAGGTCATACAGGCACGTGGAGGCCACACACACTACTGAGCCTCATTTTGACTTGTTTTAAGGACATTACATCAAAGTTGGATCAGCCTGTAGTGTGGTTTTCCACTTTAAATTTTGAGGGTGACTCCAAATCCAGACCTCCATGGGTTGATAAATTTGATTTCCATTGATCATTTTTGTGTGATTTTGTTGTCAGCACATTCAACTATGTAAAGAAAAAAGTATTTAATAAGATTATTTCATTCATTCAGATCTAGGATGTTATTTTAGTGTTCCCTTAATTCTTTTGAGCAGTGTATATATATATATATTTTTTAAAGACCTCTGGGAAGAAATTTCATTTTTTTATTTGGATTGTGAGTGGTTTTCCAGGTGTGTGTGTGTGTGTGTGTGTGTGTGTGTGTGTGTGTGTGTGTGTGTGTGTGTGTGTGTGTGTTTGTGTATTACCTGGAGCGTGAGTGGTTTCCCAGCTGGTACATGTGGGGGTTGTACTGAGCCATGATGGTGATAGTGTCACACTGCTGACCAATTATTAGCCTGGCTTGCTGCTCTGTGGCATTACGCAAGTTAATACCATTATACTGGAGGAGGAGGAGGGGAGAGATGAAAAAGAGGAGAGAAAGGTAAGATGTTATAGAAAAAACCTAACTGAAAATAAACTTAATTCTACATGTCATTCTCAGGCATGAATGTCTGACTGTAGGTCACTCTGGATAAGAGCATCTGCTAAAATGTAATGTTTTATTCCATGAGGGGGGAATTAGCGCATGTGTAGTCTAGATGTGCAAGCGACTGTGCTGGCTGCAGTCTACATCATCACATTTATAATTTCCTCCTGAGCTGAAATGGATATGACCCATAACCCTGGCAGGAAGCAGCAATGAAACAGAAAAAAGGGAAGTTACCTCAAGGAGCTGGTCGCCATACTCCAGGCCGGCCTGGTGGGCGATGCTGCCTCCTGTTACCTTGGAGACGAAGATGCCACCGTTCTCGCCGCTGACGATAGAGATGCCCAGAGGCTCCGCCCCTTTATGAACAATCACGTTCCGAGGTTCCTCCAGGTACGGCCTGATGGGAGGGAGGGAGGAGAAACTTCAGGGCTGCATCTCATCTCCCCTATGAGGGTATTGCCAAAAGTAGTGCACTACATAGGGATTAGGGTGCTATGTAACGCACATACTGATTTTCACAACACAGAGACATATATGGAGGCATATTACATATCACAGGAAGGACCAACCGACAGAAATAACAGGGACAGACAGACTGTGTGCTACAAGAAGAAGACAAGCAAAAGATCCAGAGGTTGTGTGATGGACAGAGGTATCTTCACATTCAACCTGGTGACTAGCATTGGACCCAAAGACACACAGAATGCCATCCCATCTGCAAAAGGGCACGGACATTCAGTAGCATGCAGCCTCAGTGAGGACTTTACACATGAAACAAGTGGCCAAGTCATTTCAACAAGTCCAACCATACAAACACAAAACTGTCAGTGACAACTGAGACGCAGCACACGTCTATATCAAATCCGGTTCAAGAGGAATTAGATATTTTCTGGATCTTTTCAGTGAAACAAGCTAATGTAAACCTGGCATGCACAGACCTGTTCAACTGAGAAGTGGGATGTCGGCCTAACTGCTGTTCAGGGGTGAGGAATTCCACACAACACACGCTTTACACATTCCAGGTGCCTACACTAGATCTCAATGAGCTCCTCCCAGAAACAACTCCGAGCTCCTAATCACAAGTCAAGTGCCTCAGGGTGGGGGCTAGGAGTTCTTTCTGAAGGGGGCCTGTGTATACATCTTCATTTCAGCATTTCTATCCAACACTCAAGCATGTTAACAGTAAGACCATCAGTCAGTCAGTCAACAAACCTGAGGCTCCTGAGAGAGGAGAACCTCGGCCTAGCAGCCAGAGGAATCCTCAGAAAAGACCTGTTACGGTGCAGAGACCTGGAGACATTTACACACGGCAGATAGAAGAGAAGAAACGAGGGAGGAGACGGACGAGAGAAAAACAAACAGGAAGGGGACAGGAAGGACAGACAGACAGCAAAAGAAAACAGTGAGAGGTGATGAAAAAGAAAACAGAGAGAAATGCAGAGGCCGAACAGGTCTGGTGTGAGAAGAAGAAATAACTAAAAAATACAAAAGGAAAATAGCCTGGTTCCTTCTGCATGTGTTTAGCGAACCCTTCTGACTAACACACAAAACCCACGCATACCAACACAACACAAACATGCATACACACACATTACACACACACACTTTTACACTCATAATTTGCTGCTGCTTCTTTATTTTACTCTTATTATTATCTATCCTGATATGCCTAGTCACTTCACCCTGTGGCTCAGGTAGTGCACTTCACTTCACCATGTACATATCTACTTCAAATACCCCGTACCTCTGCACATTGATCTGGTACTGGTACTCCCTGTATATTGCTCCATTCTTCTGTCTTTTATTTTATTCCTCGTGTTACTATTTTTAAACTCTGCAACGTTGGGAAGGGTTCGTAAGCAAGCCTTTGACGGTAAAGTCTACACCAGTTGTATTCTGCGCATGTGACAAATAAAATTTGAACATCATTCCACTGGCATAGTCAAATGAGTTGGCTAAAGCACAAACAGATCTGGGACCAGGCTACAAGGAGAAATGGCAGCAACACTCAACTGAGCTTTATACTGCATATACCAACAGCATTTTAACTGATATATAATCAATGCATCACACACTTCCTATCTGTATTCCTTTAGACCAGTGTTTCCTAAACCTCTCCTCGAGTACCCTCAGCCTGTTCCACTTATTTGATGTATTCTAGTACTAGCCCACCTGATTCAGCTAACAAAAGGCTTGGTGATTATTTGACCAATTGAATAGAACTGCTGGGGGTACTCCAGTCCACACACTGTTTTAGACCTTCCAGCCCCATCTCACTTCTCTTGTCTTTCCCTTCCTACCGGTCTTTCCTCCGCTCTCCAATTGGCACAGGGCTGACAGAGATTCTTGGCAGGGTGGATATGGAGCTCTGTGATTGGCTGCTGGTGAAGGAGGAAGTCTCCAGGTTTAGAGGTGATTGAGGGGGAGTGATGAGGCTGGGGCTGCTGCACTCTGAATGTGACAGGGAGCCTGGAAGGGGGGGGGGCAGGGAGAGAGGGTAAGAGACTTTAAATGAAATGATATTAAGATGAGATTGTACTTCATTAATTCCTCATTCTTACAACCATAGTAAAAACAATTAAAATACTCACAACAGTTAAAACATGGTAGTAGAGCGAAAGCGAGAGAGTGGGAAAGGGAGAGAATTGGTCCATAGTTACAGTGTCATTTCTCAGAGAGGTAACCAGGTTGTAAATACCCTGAGTCAGCGGTTTGATTTGGAATAATGTTCTTTAGTTGAGTGGAAAATCAACATTCTAAAGGCCCCTTGGGACCAGCGTCAGGTAATATTGGTCGAGAGGTACAGTATTCTGGGAATAGGCATCTTAATACGTGTTCATTCATCCATCCACCCATTTGTTAATTCATTAATTTGTCTATCCACCCACCCATCCATATTTTTGTTAACTAATTTGTTTGTTTAATTATGCATTCATCCATCCATCCATCCATCCATGTATGTACCTCTGTCAGAGCCCAGCATGGATCGAGGGTAGCGGGGAGTGGAGGGGATCTTTATCCTCTCTGTCCGGTACTGGACGTTACTGGACGAACCTGATAGAATAGAGGAAAGGTCAGTGTGTGTGTGTGTTGCGCATGTATAATGTGAGTATTTTGTGTGAGTGTGTGTGTGTGTTAGTATGTGTGAGTGTCTGCATGTAACATTTTATTTAAACTAGGCAATTTCTTATTAACTAGGCAAATTCTTATTTACAATGACGGCCTACCCCGACGCTGGGCCAATTGTGCGCCGCCCTATGACCGTGTGTGTGTGTCTGGCGTGCGTGCATGGGTGACTGACCAAGGCCCAGGCGAGCACTGGAGGGTAGTGAGTTGGTACCATGGGAGGTGTGGCTGCTGCGTGACGAGGACTCGGAGTAGTCTGCTGCTGGACGCTTTTGGCTCAGGTCCAGGCTCAGACGCCCCTGGTGCTGCGGACTGACAAACACACACACACACACTCTCTCTCACTACATAATTCATGGGTTGCACATAGCGTCACTAATGCCCTTTTTATGAAAGTCATCTTGAGGACTGGTGCACGACTGAATGTTCTACTCAATGCATTCTCAAACAGGACGACATTTCAAAAGGAGGCAACTGATTAGTAGGAGAACCTTTTGTCATCATTGCAATGTCGTCAGATTGACTTCAGATAGCTAGCTAAGATTGAGGGGAGGGCACCGGATTTCAGCTAGCTAACGTTAGCATTGCAAGGTATTTTTAACGAACTTATCTTACCAATGGCAACATTGCCATAAAGTAAATTGGCCTACATCATAATGACAAAGTTATACAAAGCCTACTAATTATTTACCTACTTTAGCAATGTCATCATATTTTCAAGCCAATAATTTAGACTAAACAATCATTAGCCCCCGTTAGGAATGACTGGGCTCCACTTGATTTTTGGAGTAGTTATTCTGTCTGGGGTAATTACCTGGGGTGTTGGTTGTTGTGCTGGTGTTGGCAGATCTGGGAGGAGACAGAGGGACAGTTGTTGGTGTGCACTCTGTGGCTGCGGACTGTGTAGACTGGGTTCCTCATCACAGCAGTCACCGCTGGACACGGGGCCAGGACACGATGGGCCGAGTCTGATAGAACACAACACACACACACCCACTGGTTAGAGAACCCAACAACAATCACACTGGTTAAATAGGAGGAACACACACTGGCTAGAGAGGCTCCGGATAGAAAAGTGTGTATGTGGGGCCTCCCGAGTGATGCAGCGGTCTAAGGCACTGCAGTGCTAGGGGCGTCACTAAAGACCCGGGTTCGATCCCAGACTATCACAACCGGCCGTGATCGGGAGTCCCATAGGGCGGCGCACAATTGGCCCAGCGTCGTCCGGGTTAGGGGAGGGTTTGGCCGGGGGGACTTTACTTGGCTCATTGCGCTCTAGCGACTCTTTGTGGCGGGCCGGGCGCCTGCAGGCTGACCTCGGTCGTCAGGTAAACAGAGTTTCCTTCGACACATTGGTGCGGCTGGCTTCCGGGTTAAGCAGGCGGGTGTTAAGAAGTGCGGTTTGGCAGGTTATGTTTCGGAGGACGCATGACTCGACCTTCGCCTCCCGAGCCCGTTGGGGAGTTGCAGCGATGAGACAAGATCGTAATTGGATCGCAATTGGATATCACGAAATTGGGGAGCAAAAAGGTGCAAAAAAAAATCAATATATAAAATAAAAGTGTGTGTGTTTGTGTGTGTGTGTGAGAGTGACTCACTTGCAGGCAGTGTACCGTTGTAGACGGTGGAGACGAAGCCCACACTGTGTCTGTGAGAGCGGTTGGGGGAGGAGCGAAGCATCTCTCTGGGCTCTGGAGAGTAATCATCATTGGAGTAGCTCTGGTGATTGACAGATACAGAAACCAATGGGTTTAATGAGGAACAGAAAGAGTACGACAATAAAGGACCACAGTCACAGTTCAATGACCTGAAACAGAAAGATGAGAATGATGAGAAGTAGACTGAAGGAGCTGTTTGAGAGTGCTAGGACGAGACCACGGCCCCTGACTCAGCACTTTGAGCCCTAGGCTGCTTATTGCCTGGAGCTCTGTACAGAGGCATCAATCACCATTGAGGCAGCCTGGTTAAGAGGCATACAAATAGACAGGGCTGTAAATACTGCCACAAAAAGGCTGCCGTGTATCACCCTGGAGTACTGGTTGGGTGCTAGGCTACACAGTGCTGGTGTTTCTCTTTTTAGATTAAGTGTTTTGAGACATAAGGTGCATCTCAATAGTCTTAAAATGGCATGCACTTCTTGTCTCCTCTCCTTGATCATTGTTGATCTTAAATCATAGGCTAGGTAGGTGAACGCAACATATTAGAGGATGACTTCACCTGTTCAGTTCTTTAATGTTAATGCATATGGAGGGGAGAGGAGAAGCTAGAAAGTAACTTCAGACTATTGTGACCGGCCCTAGTGAAAAGCACTATACATTAACATCAAACTGACCTGGAAGGAGGGCAGGGTGATGGACTGGGGGGTCATCCTGCGTCGGAGAGCCGGCGCTGATTTAGGGCGGGGCCTCTTCACCTCAGGCTCCTCCCCCCTGGTGCGTCCGATGTCCTCGTCACATGACTTCCTCGATGTCAGCACCTTCCCGTCCAGGAAGTAGTGGTTCCCGTTTCTGTCTCGCTCCCTCTCTCTTTCTCGCTCCTTCTCTCGTTCCCTGTGGCCCTCCCCCGTAACCATGGAAACAGCCTCCCCCTTGCCCCCGTTCCCGTCGGAGGTGAGCGTGCAGTCGGAGACAGAGCTGCTCTGCTGTTTGTGTTTGAATTTGAACGAATCGCTGCGGGTGGGCGGTGTCGGAGGGGTGGGTGTGGCCGTAGAGGAGGAGGAGAGAGACTCTGTCTTGGAGGGCTGCGGGGAGTGGGCCACCAGCTGACTGGGCAACAGGTTCTCAATCTTGGAAGACGAGGGCGCAGTCTCAGGCCGTGGTTTGAAGGCGTCCGGGTCGAAGATGGACTTCCTTTGTTTGGGTGACTTGAAGATGGACCGCTGGGTCGGAGTCGTCACTGTGGTCGTATCCACGGCGACGGACATCCCGCCTACGATCATCTTCGGCCAGGTGCCGCCGCTGTGTTTCTTCTCCAGGGTGGTCTCCATGGTGATGCAATCGGGGGGGTTAGAGGGGTCGTAGGTCATGGGGGGTGGGGGGGGCTTGGCATAGGGGGACCCAGAGCAGCAGTCCTGGAAGGCGCTGGGGCCATAGCGGCCCGGGGGACCCAGACCAAGGTCGGAGGACGGCCGGAGAGACCCCATGGAGAAGGGCTTCCTGACGTCCCCGTACACCCCCATCCCCTCCTCAGGCTCACCCCCCCTGCTCTTCCTCCTCTCTCCTGGGACACTGACGTTACTACCTCCCCCACCGTCACCCGTGTCGGGGCAGAAGATGTCTGTCTGTGTGGAGCTGTTGTGTTTGAGGTTACGGCTGTTCCTGGAGTGGACCTCGGAGAGACGGCCGTTAGACGATGACTCCCGCAGGCTGTCGAAGATGTTCTGGCCCGACGAACTGTGAGGGAAGAACTGGGGACATAAGAGGATAGAGGACAGAGGATAGAGATCGAGAGGGTGTTAGGAATAGCATTGGACTAGTAAACACAAATTTCATTTTTTCCAAAACTCTAAACTTTTCCCCCCAAAAAAGTTTTTACACTATCCTGGTATCTAGTCACTGCAGTGCAGTAGTATCTAACATGTTTGTTCTTGACAAACTTGAGAAAGTCAGTCGCTGTCCTAAAAACAGTGCCCGCTATAGCATCAAATAAGGGTGTTGCAGCGTATGGCACTACATGGACATGAGGAGAACCTGAGTCTAATTTAAGGCTGATTTGAGGCCAGTCAGCGGTGAAGTTTAGATTCACCTTCAAGTCAAAGCCCTATGGTAAAATAAGGCTGTTATGTGGCTCCACATTGACTGGAGGAGAACTTGTCTTTAGTCTAATTTGAGGCCAGTGTGTATTGAAGGAGCTTAGTAGAGGAGCTAGTTTAGATGCACCTTCATGAGAGAGAGGCTGAGAGAGTCCCTGCAGCTCCTCAGCAGTGTCTCACACTCTGTCACCGACTTGTTGTCCAGAGTGATGCCGTTGATCTGGAAGCAACAGAGGACACACTCAGAAACACAGTACACACACTACTCACACGTCATTCTCAAAACACACATACAGTTTTGCTAGGTGGTATTGCTTTCAAGATAGGATGAGAATTAAACTAACCCTAACCCCAAATAGAGATCCCCTGCACCTGAAGAACACAGTGCCAGAGACTTGAGTCTGCCTGCTGCTGTAGTGGGATACTATTAGAAATCTAGGCCAGTGGTTCTTCTTAGAACTATAACACCCCCACACTCCTTTCTCAATCCCCACATTTCCATGACAATAGGCCTGAGATGAATTATAAAATACTGCGGCGAGGAGAGGAACGCAGGAAGGGGAAAGAGGAAAGTAGGTAATGTATTCAAGCCTGAGTCTTTAAAATAAAAAACGTTTGTCACATATACCGATAGGTGCAGTGAAATGTGTTGTTTAACAGGGTCAGCCTTGCTAATTAGGGTTAAGTGCTTTGCTCAAGGGCACATTGACAGATTTTTTCACCTTGTCGGCTCGGGTTTTCGAACCAGCGACCTTTCGGTTAATTGCCCAACGCTCTAACCGCTAGGCTACATGCCCCCACACCAACAAAGAGAATTCAGTGAACTTTTAACATCTAAAATGAAACAGTACTCTTTGAAGCATGTTATTCCATCTGGGGAGTCTAGTCTGAGTAATGAGCATTAAGAGTGCAAGAGTGCAGCTGTGGCATATGCAAATTGTGCACATGTCACTGTTGGTTCAGCGCGTTCAAGTCCTTTGCTTACTAACATAATTAAACATCTACTGTATATGTGAAATATAACCTGCTACATTAAGTTACTAACAACTACAAGGACATGGTATAAGATGATACACAACCATGATTGACATCTGCAGGCATCTGGTCTTATGCTCGCTAATCACTAACACTTAGCTATCATGTCCCATATCAGTTAGCCAGACTTCACTATTAAAGGTGAGGGTGTCAACAGGGGTGCGTCCGAACTGGCACCCTATTTCATATATTGTGCATTAGTTTCGACCTTGGCCGAATGGACTCTGGTAAATAATAGTGCGCTTTGTAGGGAATAGGGTGCAATTTGAGACGCAAGCCTTGGTCTGCCATTAGAGGTGAGTGGGGAGATATCTAAGCCCAGTGGTTTTATTAAGCTGTAGAGGTTCACAGTAAGGACCTGGAGGATTATGATTGCAGATTGAGTTGGTGGATCATGATTAGAGAGAAGGTCATTCTGCCAGGTAGAGTGATGACTGGCTATGATTCTGTCTGTCACCAAATCACTAGAGACTGAAATGGAACAGGGGTAAAATCAGGTGGAGGTGAAGGAAAAGGAGGTAGAGGTTGGAAAAGAGGAGGAGTAGGAGTAGAAGCAGGAGGAAGAGGAGGAGGGGGATAAGGAGGTGAGGTGGATGGGGTGATGGAGGAAGAAGAAGAGCAGGAGACAAAGAGTATGAGGAAAATTAGAAGGAGAAACTAAGGAGGTAGAGGAGAAGGACTCACAGCGATAAGTCTGTCTCCAACCGTCAGAGATCCCTCCCTGGAAGCAGGACTCCCCTGGACAAGGGCCGTCACAAACACACCACTTTCCAGACCTATACCACTGTCTGGAATAGAGAAGAGATATTTATTAAAGAAATCTTATGACAGACCATCTTGTGAAAAGCAATGTGTTACATTAAAATACTGTACTAGAAGAATACCAAATGCATACAAATGATATAATACAATCAATCAACCCAAGAAATCAAATCAATCACCCAATCAAACATTAAACAAAACATTAAATCAACTAGAACAGGGGTGTATTCATTAGTCGAATTCCGTTGCAAAACGTTTTGCAACAGACCAAACCTTTTGCAACAGAATCCAACTGATGAATACACACCTGTTCTAGTTGATTTGTTGTTTTGTTGAATGATTGATTAAGTGATTTACAGTTTACTCTAAGAACCAGACGGCGGCAAACAGAGCAAACGGAATGAAAGGGGGATGGACCTACCTGAATTTGTTTAATAGAAACTCTCGTTTTCTTTGCAAAACATTTTACATTTGGAGTAAACGGTTTCCACAAAAAAGTGTTACCTTTCTGTCCGATCAGGTTAATGTGTACGGGGGTGACCAGCCTCCCTCCCAGGGACTTCCTCCTGCGCACCACCATGTTTATCAGCCCGCCTCCGTTAAGCACTGCCTTTACCACCTGCTTTCTGTCCTTGTTGGTCAGGTCCATGTCGTTTATCTTCAGCAACCAATCGTTCACTCTGAAAAGCAGGAAGTAAAAATGTGTTATTGGGGATGATGAAGATGAGGAAAGAACAGGGGTTCTTGAACTTGAACCTCAAGAAATGTAACAAATCATAGAGAATTACCTTAACCTTCCATCTGCAATACTTCCTTTGTCCACTCTCGTCACAAATATTCCACAATCTCCTGGTAAATACGGATCATTTACCCCCTCTGCTATGTCAAACCCAAGTGCCTTCAAATCCATGTCATCCTGCAGGAAAACAGCAAAGTTTAACATACTGTTCACTGGTTATCTACAGTTGAAGTCAGAAGTTTACATACACCTTAGCCAAATACATTTAAACTCAGTTTTTCACAATTCCTGACATTTAATCCTAGTAAAAATCCCCTGTCTTAGGTCAGTTAGGATCACCACCTTATTTTAGGAATGTGAAATGTCAGAATAATAGTAGAGAGAATGATTTATTTCAGCTTTTATTTATTTCATCACATTCCCAGTGGGTCAGAAGTTTACATACACTCAATTAGTATTTGGTAGCATTGCCTTTAAATTGTTTAACTTGGGTCAAATGTTTCAGGTAGCCTTCCACAAGTTGGGTGAATTTTGGCCCATTCCTCCTGACAGAGCTCGTGTAACCAAGTCAGGTTTGTAGGCCTCCTTGCTCGCATATGCTTTTTCAGTTCTGCCCACAAATGTTCTAGGATTGAGGTCAGGGCTTTGTGATGGCCACTCCAATACATTGATTTTGTTGTCCTTAAGCCATTTTGCCACAACTTTGGAAGTATGCTTGGGGTTATTGTCCATTTGGAAGACCCATTTGCAACCAAGCTTTAACTTCCTGACTGATGTCTTGAGATGTTGCTTCAATATAGCCACATAATTTTCCTTCCTCATGATGCCATCTATTTTGTGAAGTGCACCAGTCCCTCCTGCAACAAAGCACCCCCACAGCATGATGGGGCTGCCCCCGTGCTTCACGGTTGGGATGGTGTTCTTCAGCTTGCAAGAATCCCCCTTTTTCCTCCAAACATAACGATGGTCATTATGGCCAAACAGTTCTATTTTTGCTTCATCAGACAACAGGACATTTCTCCAAAAAGTACCATCTTTGTCCCCATGTGCAGTTGCAAACCATAGTCTGGCTTTTTTATGGCGGTTTTGGAGCAGTGGCTTCTTCCTTGCTGAGCGGCCTTTCAGGTTATGTCGATATAGGACTCGTTTTACTGTGGATATAGATACTTTTGTACCTGTTTCCGCCAGTATCTTCACAAGGTCCTTTGCTGTTGTTCTGGGATTGATTTGCACTTTTCGCACAAAAGTACGTTCATCTCTAGGAGACAGAACGCGTCTCCTTCCTGAGCGGTATGACGGCTGCGTGGTCCCAAGGTGTTTATACTTGCGTACTATTGTTTGTACAGATGGACGTGGTACCTTCAGGCATTTGGAAATTGCTCCCAAGCATGAACCAGACTTCTGAGGTCTTGGCTGATTTCTTTTGATTTTCCCATGATGTCAAGCAAAGAGGCACTGAGTTTACACCTCCAATTGACTCAAATGATGTCCATTAGCCTATCAGAAGCTTCTAAAGCCATGACATCATTTTCTGGAATTTTCCAAGCTGTTTAAAGGCACAGAAATTAATTTATTCAATCAATCGATCCATCCATTAATTCATCCAGCCATCCATCCAAACAATCGATTCCTCATCAAAAGTAAGTCAAATAGTAATTCAATAATAATTCAATAAAATCAATAAAATTATTTGAGTCTCACCCTGTCCTTCTCAAACTCCACCACCTCCGTCTCCCACTCCAGAGAGTCTGTGTCGATGGCTGAGTCATGGGAGCTGTGGGCCATCAGCTGACAAAACCTCGCCTCCTTGTCCAGCTGGCTCTCCATCTTCTCTCTGACCACAGGAAGTGACATCACACAGATCAAAGCGCATAACAACAGTGTGCAGGATAGACCTACATGTCCCTTAGGGCATGTACACTATCTGCTAAATGAGGAAACTTCTGCCTTGTAGCATTTTCATACAGTTTCTAAATGCTGTATAACTACATCTATAGGACACCATAGATATCTATAGGGCAAAGCAACCCACCATAGTTATCTATAGGGCAAAGCCACCTTTCAAGGTGCTGCAAGTGAAGTGTTACCAAAGTCAAAAAGTAGTAGCAAGGTAATATTCTACAGTGTGTAAAGGAAAGGTAGAAGGAGAAATAGGCCTATGGTGGCTGACTGTCACCAAGATACATGATGTCCTTAGGAGGCAGGCCTTGAGGGGGTTGTTGACTTCACCTAAATGTTACGCTTTTCTTCTTCGTCACAGGAAAGGAGGACGAGCTCTCAAAGTCAAGATACGGAGATAATTTAATATGGCAGTCACACACTGACCAGTAGAGGGAGCTTTTCACATCACTACAAGGGGGTTGAGAAAGTGGAAAGTGTGTGGTGTGGTGTGGTGTGGTATGGTATGTGTGTGTGTGTTTAATTAACCTCATAGACCTGGGCTATTCAACTATATTCTTACAGGGGCCAGCTTAGAAAAAGGTTATTTAGAGGAGGCCAGGCATTTTCTGTGTGTGTCTGTGTGCTCTGGGACTCACTTGAGTTCCTTCAGTTCCCGTGACGAGTCATTCTTCTGCTTCCTCATGTCGTCAAGGTTACGAAGGGCGTCGGCCAGATCGCTGACCGCCCGGTCCCGCTCCCTACGCAGGTTGTCACACAGCGTCCTGGAGGGGCAGGATATGACATTATCAAGCATCAGCACAGTTTAGTCAGTCAATATTAATTGCTTCCTCTCTCCATGCCTCCTTCTCAAAACACATTGAGGAAGACCCAAGGTTCCTCCTCTCGGACCTTCTACTCAAATGCGTTTTCAGAAGGAGGCAAGGAGAGAAAATGCAAGGAATCAAGGAAAGAGGAATTAAAAAAGAGCCTACGCCACTCTTTCCTATTTCTCACCGTATGCTCTCTCTCTCTGCCACTATCTTGTCTCTCTCCTGGAAGGCCCAGTCACGTCGACACTTGGCCACCTCTGCCTCCTGCGTAGCCTCCTTCAGCTCCTGGGACATGGCCTCGTACTGCTTCCTCAACACCTCCATCTCCTTGTTGGCCCGCTCTATGTCCAGGGTGGCAGAGTCTTGTTTCTGTCGAGCACACACAGACATGAACACACGCACAGACACGGACACACATGGACACACGCTAGTCAGCCACTTTCAATACATGAAACTTCAACAGATCAAACACACATTTCCTGAAACTTTCACAAAGTTCTCAGGTTTCTCAGAAATCCCAGTTGGAGAATTCCCGGAATCAGAAGGGATCAGTAGCGAAGGAATCATCCAACTGGGATTTCTATCACAGATTTGAAGCATCCCGACTCCTGTATTGTAAAACCGCAGTAGGAGGGCCATCTAGTGGTCTGATCAGGGAAGTGTCAGGAGCAGCAATAGCAGCATTTGTCTAAGGCACTAAATCCGCTTTAGGGTCATGCAACTCACATAATCCAAATGGTTGACAGCTTATGGGATCCTCTAAGCTCTTTATCATGCACCTTTTGACAGCCTCTGTCCTCTCTCCAAGACAGTTGTGTATCATACCTGTAAGGTGTGTGTGTTGTTTCAGGTGTGTTTGTGTTACCTGTCTAGCCTGGTAGTATTCTCTCAGTAGCTGATCTCTCTGTATGATGGCCTCTGTCCTCTCCTTGCGGGCCACGTCTCTCTCCTCCCGGACCGTCTCAATATCTTTACAGGCTTGGCTCAGCTCCTTTTGGGCCTCAGCCTTGTCCTTCACCTCGTGGCAGTACTTCTCCAACAGCTCGTTCCTCTCACAGATTGCCCTGTCCCGGTCCACCAACGACGAGTTCAGCTCCTAAAAACAACCACAATCAAGTCATATTTAATGCCATAACACAATCATAAAATCCCTTTGTTGATCTGGCAGCGACAAATTTAGCTAATTGACCGAGCAGCTGTCTGAGAGCCTCAATGGCCACCATTGTTTCAGACGAGGTGAGTTTGATTGATTAATAAACAGATATATATTAATTGATTAACCTATGATAATTACCTGTTTGCGAGCCTCAATCTCCTCCCTGGCTATCACCCTCTAAGTGTTTTGACTGATTAAATAATTTATGAACCTCTCAGACGAGGTGTTGACTCTGCACCGGTACCCCCCTGTATACAGTAAGGGAAAAAAGTATTTGATCCCCTGCTGATTTTGTACGTTTGCCCACTGACAAAGAAATGATCAGTCTATAATTTTAATGGTAGGTTTATTTGAACAGTGAGAGACAGAATAACAACCAAAAAATCCAGAAAAACGCATGTCAAATGCATTTTAATGAGGGAAATAAGTATGAGACCCCCTCTCAATTAGAAAGATTTCTGGCTCCCAGGTGTCTTTTATACAGGTAACGAGCTGAGATTAGGAGCACACTCTTAAAGGGAGTGCTCCTAATCTCAGCTTGTTACCTGTATAAAAGACACCTGTCCACAGAAGCAATCAATCAATCAGATTCCAAACTCTCCACCATGGCCAAGACCAAAGAGCTCTCCAAGGATGTCAGGGACAAGATTGTAGACCTACACAAGGCTGGAATGGGCTACAAGACCATCGCCAAGCAGCTTGGTGAGAAGGTGACAACAGTTGGTGCGATTATTCACAAATGGAAGAAACACAAAAGAACTGTCAATCTCCCTCGGCCTGGGGCTCCATTCAAGATCTCACTTCGTGGAGTTGCAATGATCATGAGAACGGTGAGGACTCAGCCCAGAACTACATGGGAGGATCTTGTCAATGATCTCAAGGCAGCTGGGACCATAGTTACCAAGAAAACAATTGGTAACACACTACGCCGTGAAGGACTGAAATCCTGCAAGGTCCCCCTGCTCAAGAAAGCACATATACAGGCCCATCTGAAGTTTGCCAATGAACATCTGAATGATGTGCGGATTTCACTGCTATGCGGATGACACACAGCTGTACATTTCAATGAAACATGGTGAAGCCCCAAAATTGCCCTCGCTAGAAGCCTGTGTTTCAGACATAAGGAAGTGGATGGCTGAAAACTTTTTACTTTTAAACTCGGACAAAACAGAGATGCTTGTTCTAGGTCCCAAGAAACAAAGAGATCTTCTGTTAAATCTGACAATTCATCTTGATGGTTGTAAAGTCGTCTCAAATAAAACTGTGAAGGACCTCGGCGTTACTCTTGACCCTGATCTCTCTTTTGACGAACATATCAAGACTGTTTCAAGGACAGCTTTTTTCCATCTACGTAACATTGCAAAGATCAGAAATTCTCTGTCCAAAAATGATGCAGAAAAATTAATCCATGCATTTGTTACTTCTAGGTTAGACTACTGCAATGCTCTATTTTCCGGCTACCCGGATAAAGCACTAAATAAACTTCAGTTAGTGCTAAATACGGCTGCTAGAATCCTGACTAGAACCAAGAAATTTGATCATATTACTCCAGTGCTAGCTTCCCTACACTGGCTTCCTGTTAAGGCAAGGGCTGATTTCAAGGTTTTACTGTTAACCTATAAAGCGTTACATGGGCTTGCTCCTACCTATCTTTCCGAGTTGGTCCTGCCGTACATACCAATACGTACGCTACGGTCACAAGACGCAGGCCTCCTAATTGTCCCTAGAATTTCTAAGCAAACAGCGGGAGGCAGGGCTTTCTCCTATAGATCTCCATTTTTATGGAACAGTCTGCCTACCCATGTGAGAGACGCAGACTCGGTCTCAACCTTTAAGTCTTTACTGAAGACTTATCTCTTCAGTAGGTCATATGATTGAGTGTAGTCTGGCCCAGGAGTGTGAAGGTGAACGGAAAGGCTCTGGAGCAACGAACAGCCCTTGCTGTCTCTGCCAGGCCGGTTCCCCTCTCCACTGGGGTTCTCTGCCTCTAACCCTGTTGCAGGGGCTGAGTCACTGGCTTGCTGGTGCTCTTTCATGCCGTCCCTGGGAGGGGTGCGTCACTTGAGTGGGTTGAGTTACTGACGTGATCTTCCTGTCTGGGTTGGCGCCCCCCCCTTGGTTTGTGCTGTGGTGGAGACCTCTGTGGGCTATACTCGGCCTTGTCTCAGGATTGTAAGTTGGTGGTTGAGGATATCCCTCTAGTGGTGCGGGGGCTGTGCTTTGGCAGAGTGGGTGGGGTTATATCCTTCCTGTTTGGCCCTGTCCGGGGGTTTCTTCGGATGGGGCCACAGTGTCTCCGGACCGCTCCTGTCTCAGCCTCCAGTATTTATGCTGCAGTAGTTTATGTGTCGGGGGGCTGGGGTTAGTTGGTTATACCTGGAGTACTTCTCCTGTCTTATCCAGTGTCCTGTGTGAATTTAAGTATGCTCTCTCTAATTCTCTCGTTCTCTCTTTCTCTCTGAGAACCTGAGCCCTAGGACCATACGTCAGGACTACCGGGCATGATGACACCTTGCTGTCCCCAGTCCGCCTGGCCTTGCTGCTATTCCAGTTTCAACTGTTCTGCCTGCGGTTACGAAACCCCTACCTGTCCCAGACCTGCTGTTTTCAACTCTTAATGATCGGCTATGAAAAGCCAACTGAGAGACCTGAGCCCTAGGACCATACGTCGGGACTACCGGCCGTGGTGACTCCTTGCTGTCCCCAGTCCGCCTGGCCTTGCTGCTATTCCAGTTTCAACTGTTCTGCCTGCGGTTATGGAACCCCTACCTGTCCCAGACCTGCTGTTTTCAACTCTTAATGATCGGCTTTGAAAAGCCAACTGAGATTTATTCCTGATTATTATTTGACCATGCTTGTCACTTATGAACATTTTTGAACATCTTGGCATGGTTCTGTTATAATCTTCACCCGGCACAGCCAGAAGAGGACTGGCCACCCCTCATAGCCTGGTTCCTCTAGGTTTCTTCCTAGGTTTTCGCCTTTCTAGGGAGTTTTTCCTAGCCACCGTGCTTCTACACCTGCATTACTAGCTGTTTGGGGTTTTAGGCTGGGTTTCTGTACAGCACTTCGAGATATTAGCTGATGTAAGAAGGGCTATATAAAATAAAATTGATTGAAATTGATTGATTCAGATGAGAACTGGGTGAAAGTGTTGTGGTCAGATGAGACCAAAATCGAGCTCTTTGGCATCAACTCAACTCGCAGTGTTTGGAGGAGGAGGAATGCTGCCTATGACCCCAGAACACCATCCCCACCGTCAAACATGGAGGTGGAAACATTATGCTTTGGGGGTGTTTTTCTGCTAAGGGGACAGGACATCTTCACAGCATCAAAGGGACGATGGACGGGGCCATGTACCGTCAAATCTTGGGTGAGAACCTCCTTCCCTCAGCCAGGGCATTTATAATGGGTCGTGGATGGGTATTCCAGCATGACAATGACCCAAAACACACAGCCAAGGCAACAAGTGGCCTAGCCAGTCTCCAGACCTTAATCCCATTGAACATTTGTGGAGGGAGCTGAAGGTTCGAGTTGACAAATGTCAGCCTCGAAACCTTAATGACTTGGAGAAGATCTGCAAAGAGGAGTGGGACAAAATCCCTCCTGAGATGTGTGCAAACCTGGTGGCCAACTACAAGAAACGTCTGACCTCTGTGATTGCCAACAAGGGTTTTGCCACCAAGTACTAAGTCATGTTTTGCAGAGGGGTCAAATACTTATTTCCCTCATTAAAATGCAAATCAATTTATAACATTTTTGACATGCATTTTTCTGGATTATTTTGTTGTTATTCTGTCTCTCACTGTTCAAATAAACCTACCATTAAAATTATAGACTGATCATTTCTTCGTCAGTGGGCAAACGTACAAAATCAGCAGGGGATCAAATACTTTTTTTCCCTCACTGTATATAGCCTCCCTACTGTTATTTTATTTTACTTCTGCTCTTTTTTTCTCAACACTTTTTTGTTGTTGTTTTATTTTACTTTTTTATAAAAAAATAAATGCATTGTTGGTTAAGGGCTGTAAGTAAACATTTCACTGTAATGTCTACACCTGTTGTATTCGGCGCATGTGGCATTTTTTGTGTGATTTGATTTGATTTGATTGACTTGATTGATAAAATTATTCATTGACCTGTACCTGTCTGAGAGCCTCCATCTTCTCGCTGGCCACCATCCTTTCAGACGTGGTGTTTTTGAGGCGGGCCTCTGCAGCCTCCAGCTCTGTCTGCAGCTTGTCCAGCTCCTTGATCACCTGTTCCCCAGAATTAAAAAAAACTACTTTAGGATGAATTCTTGCACAAAGATAAAATACTCAATGGAGATTCTACATTGAAAGTAGCTTCTTAGTCCAAGACTAGGCGTAATTGGTGTCTGGAAAACCGGGCCTTAATGTATTATATGTATTTGACTCTGACCTGGTCCCTCTCACTCATGATGAGCCTGTACTCGTTGAACACAGAATCCCTCTCCTCCTTGCACTTCTCACAGTCTTTTACTGCCTTCAGCTGGAAGTTCTTACAGCGTGTCACCTCCGTCTGAAGCCGCTCCATCTCCCTCTGCAGCTCCTTGTTCTGGGCTGAAGACTTGTTCAGCTCCTGTTGTACAGAGTCAAACCTGGGGAGAGAGGAAGAAGGTGAGGTGTGTAGTAGTATATATATATATATATATGTGTAACTGTCTCGTTTCAGCAGTGTGTCTGTGTGTTACCTCCTCATGGACGTAGAACACTGTTGTTGGTAGTGTATGGCCGTGTCTCGTTGTCTCAGCAGCATGTCAATCTGTTTCTGTAGTCGGCGGTTCTCTTCCTCCACCTGCTCCAGCCTGCTCAGGTCCGTGTTGTGATTGGCTACCTTCTCGCTGTAGCGTTTGCTCAGTGAATCGTACTCCTTCCTCACCCCCTCCAGCTTGTCCATGGCCGTGTCATAGAGCTTGTTGAGAACCTCTGATGAACCGTTTTCTCTCATCACCTGGAGGAAGGACATGGTCATTGAGCTCATACTTTTCTATGTTTATACATGCACATACAGTTAGTGCACCTTCAGTTGCCGTCTCTGTATGAATTGTGCTATACAAGTAAAGTGTATGTTACGGATACAGGTATCCTGTGTCTTTTTATGTTTTTCCCTCTCCTTCTGCCCTAATCACAGGTGTCCTGTATGTTCCTGATTGGTGGTCGTTGGGGTGTCTGCTGATTGCTAAGGTGGACCAATCAGTGAACATTCCTCTGCATTGCACCACCTGTTTTTGGTTTTTCAATCACACATCCCATTGTTTAAAAGCCGGTCAGTTGTGTTTGTTGTTAGAGACTATTTCCGTATGTGAGTATGGATACTGTGGTGTCCTGTGTTTTGTTTACTCACTAAGTTGCTGGTTCCTCTGTTTGGTAACTTTGCTAGACTACTTTTCGTATGTGAGTATGGATACTGTGGTGTCCTGTGTACTCACTCATTTGCTGGTTACTCTGTTTGGTAACTTTGTGTTTCGGGGAAAAGGGGAAGTTAAGCAAGTTGCCCTTGGGCATACATTACCCGTAAAAAAGAAAACTGTCTATAAACACTAGTTAGACCTGAGCGGACCACCCACTGTATTTTTGTATGATTAGCAGTAGTTTAGCGGTTCTTGAGGCAGGCAAGTTCAGTTTAGGGGTGTTTTACACTATTGTTTCATTTCTTGGGTCCTGCTCAGCCCTTTTTCCCAAACCTTTACCGTGTGTTCACAAATAAACCTTTTATGTTTGACGGTAGTTTATGGTTGTCGTGTAGTTTTTGTTCTCCCTGTTCCATGTCACGATTCTAATTTGCATGATTTATGTTACGGGGCTCTTCTCCATCCACCCTAGACGTTTAAAGCCACGGGGTTCCTAACATAATGTGGGGGTTCGTCCGGGATCATTCTCATTGATACCCGTGCTACTCATGCAAATTAGTTAGTGTCTGGTTCAGTGTTGAGTTTGGCAGCTGTAACTAACTGGTTTTGTGTTCAGTATTCGACGGCTCGTGTTGCTAGTTTAGGATGGCTACTTTTGAGTTGGATGCATTTTTGGAAAACCCTACGTGGGAGGTTTTTGAGAATTGCCGTAGAGTGGATCTACAGGTTTTGGCTGACCACTTTTCTGTACCCATATCAAGGGGTTTAGTGAAAGCAGAAGTTAGGGAAGTAGTGTTAGAGATATTATTGAACGAGCGAGTGCTTGAGTTACCGCCGCCTGACCCTGCTGCTCCTGTAGGGGATGTGGTTGCTGCTCCTGTAAGCCCATCGGTGTCTGAGGACGAGGCTAAGGCTCCAGCCACATTGCCCCGTTTTGACCCACTCTCCCCACTGACTGACAGTGATGCCAGGATGGATGTCCGCTCGACACGGCTCCAAATGGAGGCGGAAGAGCGAGCACAGATCAGGCAAGACAAGCTGGAGACGCGTAAGATGGAACTGGAAACGCGTAGGCTTGATCAGGAACTGGAAATGCGTAGGCTTGATCAAGAACTGGAGACGCGTAGGCTTGATCAAGAACTGGAGATGCGTAAAATGGAACTAGAGGCAGAAACAGCGAGGTTAGTCTCTGCTCATACTATGTCTTCTAGTGAGCCGTCCTCACCAGCTGTGTCGTCTGCTACTTTTGATATTAGTAGACAGATCACCTTGGTACCTGTGTTCAGGGAGTCAGAGGTTGATTCTTATTTCAGTGTTTTTGAACGTATAGCGGTAGCATTGAAATGGCCCGAAGAGGTATGGTGCCTATTACTTCAGTGTAAATTAACAGGTAAAGCCCAAGAGGTTCTGTCGGCGCTACCTCTTGAAGACAGCTTAAATTATGACGTGGTCAAAGCTACTGTTCTTCGTGCCTATGAGCTTGTTCCTGAGGCATATCGACAGAGATTTAGGTCTCATAAAAAGGCTTCTACTCAGACTTATGTGGAGTTTGCTGGAGACAAAGGAAATCTGTTTGACAAATGGCACAGTGCTAGTAAGGTAACTGATTTTTAACTCTCTACGGGAGTTAATCTTGTTAGAAGAGTTTAAAAATTGCTTACCCGAACGCATTGTAGTTTATCTGAACGAACAGAAAGTATCCTCACTGTCGGAAGTGTCTGTATTGGCAGACGAGTTTGTGTTGACGCATAAGAGCGTGTTTTCGGCTCGTACGGAGAGCAGGGCCGCAGAGTTGTTAACTTTTAGTCCTAGTCGACCAGCAGTACATCCAGCACACCCAAAAGATGTGCGTCACTGTTTCTATTGTCATAAGGTGGGACATATGGTTAATGATTGCTTTCTGCTTAAACGCAAACAGGGGATGCCTCAGCACGCCAGGCCGCCAATGGGTGTTGGGCTGATTCGTACGGTTGTAAGGCCGGAATCAAGACAGAGGCCTCATAGTGAATGTGGTTTGAAAGTTCCAGTCCCAGATCACAGTTATGAACCGTTCATTTTTGAGGGGTTTGTTTCTATATCAGATGACGAAGCGTCTCAGCGTCCAGTTAGAATCCTCAGAGATACTGGTGCGGCGCAGTCGTTCATACTATCTGATGTGTTGCCCTTGTCCAATAATACATATTGTGGTTCCAGTGTGTTAGTACAAGGAATTGAAATGGGATTCGTCCCAGTGCCATTGCACTTTGTGAACGTACACTCTGAGTTAGTCAGTGGAGTGTTCAGAGTTGGCGTACGTCCTATGTTGCCAGTAAAAGGTGTGACATTTATAATGGGCAACGATATTGCCGGAGGAAAGGTGATACCCGTATTGGAGGTATTGGATAAAAGTGACCAGTCTCTCTCCGAGGAGCTGGCACAGGGTTATCCAGATGTGTTCCCCGCTTGTGCTGTCACACGTGCTCAAGAACGACAAGTGGGTGAAGTGATAGATTTGTCGAACACGATTCTATTCAGAGAGTGTGACCCAGAGGATAGTTCGGGTGCTACCTCTGGTAAGCTGGTGCAGTCTGACCAACAGCCCAGAGAAAGGAAGAAGGATGTGGAACTTGTTCCTGAGGCAATACAGTTACCAGTCACTCGTGAGCAGCTGATCGCTAACCAAAAGGTTGACATTAGCCTAGCTAAATGTTTTTCTAATGTTGTCTCAGAGGAGGAGCTAAAGAAGAAAAACATGGCATACTTCATTGATGGTAATCTCCTCATGCGTAAATGGACATCCCATGTTGACGCTGGCGGAGATTGGAATGCTGTTTACCAAATAGTGATTCCTACAGCCTTTCGACAAAATGTTTTATCCCTCGCTCATGATCACCAGTGGTCCGGACATCTGGGAGTCACCAAGACTTATGATCGAGTTTTGCGACATATCTTTTGGCCTGGTTTAAAACAAGATGTGGCTCAGTTCTGTCGGACTTGCCACACCTGTCAAGTAACTGGGAAACCGAACCAGGTTATTTCCCCCGCACCTCTTTGTCCCATACCGGCCATAGGTGAACCATTCGAACATGTGATGGTTGATTGTGTTGGACCATTACCAAAGACAAAATCTGGTAACCAGTTTATGTTGACGATTATGTGTGTGGCCACCAGGTACCCAGAGGCCATTCCTCTGCGAAGGATTACTGCTCCGGTGGTGAGTAAAGCGTTGATCAAATTCTTCTCAACTTTTGGGTTACCTAAGGTGATACAAACTGATCAGGGTACGAATTTCCTTTCAAAACTTTTCAAACAAGTGTTAAAATCCTTGTCAGTTACACACCGTGTGTCCAGCGCATACCACCCAGAGTCTCAGGGTGCGCTTGAACGTTGGCATCAGACACTGAAGTCTATGCTCCGTAAATATTGCTTGGAATCTGAGAAGGATTGGGATGAGGGAGTTCCTCTAGTTTTGTTTGCTGTCCGTGAGACAGTACAGGAATCCTTAGGGTTCAGCCCAGCTGAACTGGTGTTTGGACACACCATGAGAGGACCTATGAAAGTCCTTAAGGATCAGTTTTTATCACAAGAGTTGTGTGTGAAAGAAAATGTGTTGGACTACGTTAGTCGCTTTCGTGAGCGCCTACATGGTGCCTGTGCTCTAGCAAAGGAAGCGCTGTCTTCCTCACAGAAACGGATGAAACGACACTATGACACACAGGCTGTTTCTCGTTCACTGCAGCCAGGTGACCAAGTTCTTGTATTGTTGCCTGTGCCAGGAGCGTCATTGTCAGCACGTTTCTCTGGTCCTTATGTAATTGAAAAGAAACTAAGTGAAACTGACTACGTGATACAGACTCCTGATAGAAAACGCCAATCTCGTGTGTGCCACGTTAACATGTTGAAAACATACCAGACCCGTTACTCAGATAGACAGTCCAGAGAAACTGGCCGAGTCGGCTGTCTCTATTGCTGCTACGGCTGTAGTGGGAGGTCATGTTAATGATGTGGACGGAGATGGTTTGGAGTTGCGCAATACTCAGCAGCAGTGTGCTAGATTGCCCAATTCAGAGATGCTGCTGTCTCTCCCGTCAAGCCTGATTCATTTAACGGACGGACAGTCAGATGATATTGTGAGACTATTACACAGCTTTCCATGTCTTTTTAATGATGTTCCTACATGCACAAATGTGTTAGAACATGACATTAATGTTGGAAACGCTGCACCTATCAAGCAACATGCTTATCGTGTCAACGTCTCTAAAAGAAAGATAATGAGGGATGAGGTCGGTTATTTGCTAGAGAATAACCTGGCTATGCCAAGTTCAAGTCCTTGGAGTTCTCCGTGCATTCTGGTTCCTAAACCTGATGGGACATCCAGATTATGTACGGACTATCGGAAGGTCAATGCTGTCACAGTGCCCGACTCGTTCCCGTTACCCAGACTGGATGACTGTATTGATACTGTTGGTGCTGCTACTTATGTAACCAAACTAGATCTTCTAAAAGGTTACTGGCAGGTGCCGTTAACCTCACGTGCCTCCGACATCTCTGCCTTTGTGACCCCAGATCACTTTCTACAATATGCTGTCATGGCATTTGGGATGCGGAACGCACCAGCCACTTTCCAACGCCTGGTTAACACAGTATTGGCTGGAGTTCCTAATTGTAGTGCTTACCTTGATGATCTGGTAATTTATTCAACTGAGTGGTCTGATCATGTTAACACTCTAAGGGTAGTGTGTGAACGTCTAGCAACCGCTTCTCTAACCCTGAACTTAGCAAAGTGCGAGTTTGGGAAGGCCACTGTTACTTATCTTGGTGAACAGGTCGGCCGTGGTCAGGTGCGCCCTCTAGATGCCAAGGTCTCAGCTATAAATGCATTTCCCGCACCTACCACCAGAAGAGAGCTACGCCGCTTTTTAGGGATGGTTGGCTACTACCGTAGTTTCTGTAAAAATTTCTCTGCGGTAGTTGCTCCATTAATGGATTTGCTCAGTCCGGCGAGAAAATTTGTATGGTCTGAAGATTGTCGTACTGCTTTCAACACTGCTAAAGCACTCTTATGTAGTACTCCTGTTCTTGCTGCGCCAGATTTTGAACGACCGTTTAAACTGGAGGTAGATGCAAGTGCCAGAGGTGCTGGTGCTGTTCTACTGCAGCCGGACCAGAGTGGAGTGGACCATCCTGTCTGTTATTTTTCACGGAAATTTAACAAATGTCAGACAAACTATTCCACCATTGAACAAGAAGCTCTAGCTTTGTTGTTAGCTCTGCAGTACTTTGAAGTTTATGTTGGTTCCAGTGCATTACCAGTGATAGTGTATACTGACCATAACCCCTTAGTTTTTCTCCACCGGATGTACAACCAGAACCAACGCCTTATGCGTTGGGCACTTGTAGTGCAAAATTATAATTTGGAGATCCGCAACAAAAAGGGGTTGGATAATGTGTTGGCAGATGCTTTGTCTCGTGTTTAATGATCTAGGTTTTTTTTGTTATCCCGTCAGGATGATTTTTGAATTTTGGGTGTTGTGATGGTACGTGTGTCGCAAACCATTGTGGTTTGCTCTTTTAAGGGTGGGAGTGTTACGGATACAGGTAACCTGTGTCTTTTTGTGTTTTTCCTCTCCTTCTGCCCTAATCACAGGTGTCCTGTATGTTCCTGATTGGTGGTCGTTGGGGTGTCTGCTGATTGCTAAGGTGGACCAATCAGTGAACATTCCTCTGCATTGCACCACCTGTTTTTGGTTTTTCAATCACACATCCCATTGTTTAAAAGCCGGTCAGTTGTGTTTGTTGTTAGAGACTATTTCCGTATGTGAGTATGGATACTGTGGTGTCCTGTGTTTTGTTTACTCACTAAGTTGCTGGTTCCTCTGTTTGGTAACTTTGCTAGACTACTTTTCGTATGTGAGTATGGATACTGTGGTGTCCTGTGTACTCACTCATTTGCTGGTTACTCTGTTTGGTAACTTTGTGTTTCGGGGAAAAGGGGAAGTTAAGCAAGTTGCCCTTGGGCATACATTACCCGTAAAAAAGAAAACTGTCTATAAACACTAGTTAGACCTGAGCGGACCACCCACTGTATTTTTGTATGATTAGCAGTAGTTTAGCGGTTCTTGAGGCAGGCAAGATCAGTTTAGGGGTGTTTTACACTATTGTTTCATTTCTTGGGTCCTGCTCAGCCCTTTTTCCCCAAACCTTTACCGTGTGTTCACAAATAAACCTTTTATGTTTGACGGTAGTTTATGGTTGTCGTGTAGTTTTTGTTCTCCCTGTTCCATGTCACGATTCTAATTTGCATGATTTATGTTACGGTCTCTTCTCCATCCACCCTAGACGTTTAAAGCCACTGGGTTCGTAACAGTGTATTATGTACAGTTGACATATTTAAAAAAAACAATTTTGGTGTTTCAAGCACCATGCTGAAACCCAGATGAAGGAAGCTTCCTGTCGAAACGTTGCTTTATTTAATTAATACAAAAAAAAATTCCCGGAGTGATAGTGATAGATTATTTACTTCTTCTCAAGCATGTTGTAACCAAACCAAGCCACCGGAACCAGAACCAAGCCAGATTGAGCATTGATTCATTTTACACCGGTTGGTCAGCAGATGGCAACAGTGAGCCGCTGCAGTATATGGACTATTCAATACTACTAGGCTGCATTTACACAGGCAGCCCAATACAGATATTTTGCCCAATTACTGGCAAAGGATCTGATCTGATTGGTCAAAAGATCAATAACTGGGAAAATATCAGAATTGTTCTGCCTGTGTACACTAGCCCCTAGGTTTCACTTTTGCTGGCCCTTTACAATCACAAAATCATCATCAAATAAAATGCATCAACCTCCCTGCCGTTTTTGTGTGTTTGGTTGAGCGTGTGGTGTATGTAAGGCTTGCTGGAGTCTGTGATGATTACTGTGGGAGCAGGTGTGACCCCAGGGCAGTATGCAGGTGTGTGTGGCCTTTACAGGAGATGGAGACCTAGTACTCTATCCTGGTGAGTTTAAACACTTCTCCTGAACTTACAGATCTGTGAACACAGGAGGAGCAGTAGGAACAAGGGGAATGTGCCTACTGCCTACATGCCCTTTACATGAGCCAGTGACCTTGTCCTCCAGCACTGCCCTTTACAGAAGTGCTCAATATGCATCTCCCAGCCGTGTGTGTCTGTGTGTGCGCACGTCCTGTCCAACGCAGCAGTCTTCTCCAGGGATGTGTGGGTATCTGAAAGCACATCAACCCAGTATAGGTCACAGCAACCTTGTGTGTGTGTGTGTACCTCTTGCTGCTGCAGCCTCATGTCGGCCACCTCCTTCTGGTCCTCGCTGTGTAGCCTGCGGAGCTCCTCACAGCTCTGCTTCAGGTGGTTGTGTTCCCTGACAAGCTGAGTGTTGTCTCTCCTCAACACCTCCAGCTCCTCCTTCAGTTGAGACTGATCTCCTAACACACGACTGTGGAGAATACTGGAGACAGAGAGGGAGAGGTCAAAACTGGGGGAGGGGAAGACACAGTTTCCTGACTTTGATGGCACATCATAACAAGGTCTAAATAGAAGCAAGCGGAGATTCTTCATGAAGGCTGGAAGCACGGCCCGCCTGCCCAAAAACACACTGGTAGCAAAGCAAAACAGGGGCTGTGATTACCATGAGGTTACATTAGTTATACAGCAGATTGCATTATCTAGGCTATGTCTGCAAAAGGCAGGTTAAAGTGAAAGTACGGACTAACCTCTCTGCAGACCTGAATTGAGTTTATTCGATAAGTACTGATTGCAATATATGTTCACTGGGGGAGGGAGGAACATGTAAGTCAATGACTATACAGACAGAGGTTAGGAGGGAGATTAACCCATTCTGTTTGATTGCTTTCCTGGACAGACAGCGACAGGGGCTTACATCCATCCATACAATCACACACAGGCCTGATGGAGAGACAGGAGTGGAGCGATAATCCTAATCTATCTCACTCATCTGTCTCACTGGGTACCCACACGTGCGTGTGCGCACACCCACACCTTACATGCCTGGATTTAATGCCACAGATTACCACATATTGTCCTTAAAGAACTTTGCAAAACTGTACATGTGTGGTACTCTGTTAGAGTTTATGTTTACTCTAGTAAGTGTGTACAAAGGAAACCCCCCCAGATTAAAAGCATGACTGCTAGACATATTGTAGGTTTAGTGCTGGGTTTGGTAGCCCTATAGAACATAATTTGATACGACTTCATTCACAATTGACTATAAAAGATATTGCTGTACAACTCCTTAATTCACATTTAGGTAATCCCTATTCCAGTTAAATGGAAACAGACCATTAGCACATAAATGTTCACCAGGCACTTCTCCCGTCTGTAAATGAGTAAAACAATGACTCCATAAAACCTCTCATTATTCCCATCTAATTACAACAGTCTATTCAGAAACAGTTAGTGAACTAACAGATTATTCCTGACATTAGGCTGGGCAGTGTACTCAAGGACTACTAAATGTCCACCTTTCCCCAGACAATTCATGTATTTTTGTTAACCAACAAACCAGTCAGTCAGTCGACCGACCAACCAGCCAGCCAGCCAGCCAGCCAATCGATTAACCCAACCAACCAACCCAATCAGTGTTGATGATGGTGGTACTCACTGGTAGAAGTCAGCCTCCTTGACGGCCTCCTCACACCTCTTCAGAGTCTTGGTGTGTTGGTTCTGTAGAGACTGCAGATCTGCCATGGCCCTCGTACACTGACTTTTTAGACGCTCGTAGTCGTGGCTGGCTTTGGAATTCGGCCTTTGGGGAAACAACGACATGAGTGGAGTAATGCATCACATCATCACACCAACAACCTGAGACCTTGTCTACAAGATCAGCCCAATGTCAGTTAACCCCCTAGTTGATGTCCCCCCCCCCCCCCCCCCCCCCCCCATGAAATTGAATTAGCATAAGAATAAAAATACCCATCAAAATCCGTCTGTTTAAGCTAGAGATATGTTTTTTTTGCCTGGGCTGCGTCTCAATCCACTGCATCCGCCAACAGTGGCCTTCGGCATCTGCGGTGGAAGGTGGCCGAGCTACAGCGTTGTTTATCAGACCATGAGGCATCCCATAAATGCACTCAAGTCAGACGCAGGCCTACGCAACTTTCTAGAGACTACTTTTCATAGCCGTGTCTGTACATACAGTTTGTTAACTTGTTTAGCAAACGTTCCTAATATCATCATCGGACCCTAACCCTTTTCCCTGAGGGTACATGTCTGCTTGTGAGAGATGAACTCACTATTGTGCATCCCTCCTGATTCTGTACAATGGCTTCAGGAAACAGAGGGCTTTATAAAAGTGTGTGTAAACATGACCAATCAAACCACCAGGTCACTGACCTCAAAGTAACGACCCATACAGACAACAATTAACCAAGTGTTGCAGTCAGTCTATCATAGCAGACCATGTGATGTAGTTCAGGTGCTTAAAGATAACACAACAATGGCTGAATATTTTTTTTTTACTCTGTTGTAGGCTACCTTAACTTTTATGATTAGCTGGAATGTATGCTCTGTCTAAATATTGTATTTTGAATACTTGTTGCATGGAGACATTGGTGTATAGTACAGTATAAAGACGATCTACTCTACTTATGTGTAGGGGGGGGGGGGGGTTGTTTGTACCTGCAGTCGTCGAAGGTGGTGCCAGGCGATGCCAGGGCCAGGCGCTTGCGGAGTTCGTCCCTCTCACGGGTCACCTGACGCAGCTGGAACAGGATGGTGTCCAGGTTGTCACCGGCTGGCCGGTTGTCGTTGATGGCTGGGAGCGGGGACGAGACTGAGCCGTTACCGGTACCGGGGGGTGAACCTGCAACAGTGAGTATGTCACCAGGGGCAAGAGCAGCTCACTGCCACCGGAATACACGGGACAGGAAGGGGAGGAAGACACTTACATCACAATATAAACAAACAAGCACAGACACACACACACACACACACATAAGGGTATATACATTTTATAAGCTCAGTCCTTTGTATTAGAGGTGATTCTAACTGGACATGATGCTTGATCTGGTTCTCCTGTGTCTTATTCTGGGGGAATATAGTTCTATTACAGCTGCATAGGCCTGCCACAGCTGACATTTGACTTGAGTTAAAAAAGTTAGGTACTTACACAAGAATCTGACCTTTGCAAGAATATTATGTTGACATGAGTATTATTCATGTGAAGGTTGAGGTTAGGCACACAAATCCCAAGACTCACTTAAACCTCATGCAACTTTATGTCAACTTCTCCTGAATACTATATTATGTTGGGTTTAAGTGTAATATTCCTGAAAAACCCAGTTACCATCACCAGTAGACTGGGACAGTAAAATATGATTGAATACATCACAGCAAACACAGGACTACGACAAAACAAACTGTAGCGCATTATACAGTACAATGCTCTTTGCGCACATAAGGTCTGAAGTGGTTTAGGCCTTGTCCTAGACATTCTGAACAAATTTACTACCAAGGTACTGCTTTAGAACAGCGGTTGTCTGATATGAAATTCCTCTTTAATCTTTTCCATGACAATCTTCTCTACAATTTCCAAGAATAACCTCAGATTCACATGGCAACAATGCTGGTAATCTCTGACATGAAAATGACAAGCAGCATATTGGATTAAATAAAACATATTCCTGGTACTTTCTGTCTGGCTGGCTTATGCAGAGTCTCTAGGACACTTTCATAGTATTACATTAACCAATGCATTTGTGCAGTCATTCAAAAATACAAAGGTCTTTGTAAGTCATTGAGTAGAAGATTAATATTCAAATCAAATTGTATGTCACATGCGCCGAATACAGCATGTGTACACCTTACCGTGAAATGCTTACTTTCTATTTAAATTAATAATTTCCTTCTAGCCATGTTCCCTTAGCCACGGTTATAAAATATCTTCCATGCTCGGGGCTGTGTCCCAATACTTTAAAACAGCTACCTTTCTTTGTGTCTCTTCCTTGCGACCACGTATAGGTTAAATTATTGGATCTCCCCCTTTCACAGCAAACACCTCTCTCTCTCTCTACCTCTCTCTACCTCTCTCTACCTCCCTTCTCCTTCCTCTCTTTCTCCCTCTTTCCAGAACAGAAACAGAAAGAGCGGGCCTGGCAAGGAGGCCGACAGACAGACAGCAGACCCCCCTCTCTCTCTACCTCCCTCCCTCCCTCCCTCTTTCCCACTCTTCCCAGAACAGAAACAGAAGGAGCGGGCCTGGCCAACAGACAGACCGACCGGCAGAGCCAGCGCCAGGGAGGAACTCAGAGGATCCTTGGCACCAGGTTGGGCCCTTAAGGGTTTATGTAACAGCCAGTGACGCGCAGTGTCATTTGGACCCCTGTCAAGCTCTGGTAGCAAGAGTGAGTAAGTGAGTGTGCATGTTAAGGAGGTAGCATGGTGAACTAAACTCATGGAGGAGAGAAAGGAGAGAGATTGGCATGGGTCCAGCTGGGCTGCCGTAGGGAACATTGGCAAGCACTAATGAGTCTTTACTGAATGATGTCTTATTGGACTAGTGGGGTTATTCTGGTATAAACAAAGCTGCACTGCGTGGCGTTGAGACTACCGAAACCATGACTTGGATTATACACACACACACACACACACACACACACGTCTTGGCCCCATACTTACCGACACTGCTTAGGGAACTGCTACTCTCAGAGTCTGAGGGCATGGTGGACAGAACACTGTATGTAGAGCCTGTAGATCGAGTGATGTGGGGAAGAAGAAGAGAGACGACATCAGTAATCAGTAAAAAAGGAAATCATCCCAAAATCATATGCGCTTCTCCTTGAAGTCGTTCTTGAAACGATTGGTTTGGTTCGTCAAATCGATGATGAATTAATAGTGTAACATGAGCTTCATACCCCAATACAAATCTGCATGAAATAAATGGAAAAATACACTATATATACACACAAACATATGTGGACACCCCTTCAAATTAGTGGATTCAGCTATTTCAGCCACACCCGTCGCGGACAGGTGTATAAAATCGAGCACACAGCCATGCTATCTCCATAGACAAACATTGGCAGTAGAATGGCTTTACTGAAGAGCTCAGGGACTTTCAACGTGGCACCGTCACAGGATTCCACCTTTCCAACAAGACAGTTTGTCAAATTTCTGCCCTGCTAGAGCTGCCCCAGTCAACTGTAAGTGCAGAACGGATCTGGGTTTGGCGGATGCCAGGAGAACGCTACCTGCCCCAATGCATAGTGGCAACTGTAAAGTTTGGTGGAGGAGGAATAATGGTCTGGGGCTGTTTTTCATGGTTCGGGCTAGGCCCCTTAGTTCCCGTGAATGGAAATATTAACACTACAGTATACAATGACATTCTAGACGATTCTGTGCTTCCAACTTTGTGGCAACAGTTCGGTGAAGGCCCTTTCCCATTTCAGCATGACAAAGCGAGGTCCAAACAGAAATAGTTTGTCGAGATCGGTGTGGAAGAACTTGACTGGCCTGCACAGAGCCATGACCTCAACCCCATCGAACACCTTTGGGATGAATTGGAACGCTGACTGCGAGTCAGGCCTAATCGGCCAACATTAGTGCCCGACCTCACTAATGCTCTTGTAGCAGAATGGAAGCAAGTCCCCGCAGCAATGTTCCAACATCTAGTGGAAAGCCTTCCCAGAAGAGTGGAGGCTGTTATAGCAGCAAAGGGGGACCAACTCCATATTAATGCCCATGATTTTGGAATGAGATGTTCAACAAGCAGGTGTCCACATACTTTTGGTCATGTAGTGTACATATATTTCCTCCTGTATTTCTGGACTCCTAGTTCTTAACTCAGGACTCCTCCTCTTTATTCATGTCCCCTCTCCATGCACCTAGTACATTGCTTTGATGTATATTCCCTGTATGTCCATGCTAGTCAAGCAGAGTGTCACGGTTAGAATGTGATTTTCTCCTTTCTAAGTCAAGCAGCACATGGAGACGGCACTCAGGACAATGATGTCCTATTTGCATAGTGCTGCACACTGCTAAGCCCAGGATATTTCATGTAGAGGAATCCATAGGGGGGCTATAGTATATGTCATTCTGCTGCACATCACAGCTCTAGCTGCAGTAGCAAATTGACTGCCTTTTCTAAAGGGCCACGTAAACATATCATGGGTTTAAACCCTTTGTCGAGTGTAGAGTGAGTTCTTAGAATGTCGTCATTTTCAGTGTTCCACTTTGGGATTTTTACTGTTCAGTAAAGATTGAATTAGCTGCCATTGGTGGTGTCATCTATAAGAATAAATTAAAAGGTTTGCCATAGAACAGCATATATAGATATAACGTTTAGTGCTCTTAGAGCATTAAGAAGCCACACAGATATACAATAGCTGGTTATAAACAGCCTAATAGCTATATTGTGATCAACTAGGATGCATCTCTGTCACATTTCAAGCATCTATAAGACTGCAATTAAAGTGTGTCCTCTAAAACCTAGTCATGACACACACCAAGGGGAGTGATAAAGTCAAGAGGTCATTGATCAAATCCCACTATCCCAGATGTCCATCTGTGTCCTTCCCACCCTGCTGTGCCGGCTAAAGTCCTTACAGCACCAACCCTGCAGATCAGACAAGGCCAAGCCTCATTAGCTAGGATCTCTCCCTCGCTGAGACTCTGTGTATATATAGGGAGCGAGCAAGCGAGAGAGAGAAAATAAGTAAAATGGGGGTAGAAGAGAGGAGACTGGCTTTTAATCTGTTCTGACACTCCCTGAAGCTCTGTGCTCACTGCTCGCTCTGCTGCTGCTCTCCACTGTGGAACACATTCAGAGCAGCTTGACATGAGAACCACGCAGAGCCTACTACACCTCTGCTGCACACTGAAGGCAGGCGGGCGGCTCTTACACACATCTTCCCACATGCATTTACAAGTAGTAGGCCACAACTTTCTAAAGTTGTGTCAGATCTTGAAGACTAGTGTGAAGTGAACCACAGATCTTTTTTCTTTTTTTACACTAGAACTCTTGCTCCTCAGCTTTTTTTTAACCAATACAACAAATAAACGTTTATTCGGGGCTAGGGATTAAACAGGGCTGGGAGATGTGTGATTTGAAAAAGCCAGCCCCAGAACACTAAAATAAATAGATTCTCCGTTATTCATCCCCTCTCGGACCAGCATGTCATGCCACATTGTTTAGACCATAATCACTTTTATGTAATAGTCACCGCTCACTACAGATTGAATTTGTCCAAAACGCTAGCGGCTGGCCTCTCCTATGCTGTTCTCACTTCAAAGATAGAGTATGGTATAACATACAGCATGGACATTGCGAAAGAGTATAGAAATGAATGAAATTCTGAATAATGTGAGTAGTGGCGACATAGTCTACACCAAGTCTCTCTTAGCAGGCCAATGAGGCAGAATAGATAGCATATTGAATGGCAGTAAGCCATCTGGTGGTGGAAGGGTCGGCAGCGATAGACCTCTCCAACAGGCCTTTTATCATCCATAGGAATTAGACATTAGCCTCTTTCAGCCAGGCCGTTCATTTGTAAACAAGCTGACAGCATCAATAAATAGTGCATGAATTAAGAGCTGCAAAAGATCTAGTGGTCGGCACTTAGGCTGCAGACTGTCCAATTCTCTACCCTTCTATCCTGAAGTGTGCACGCGCCATGAGGGGGTTGTGAGTAAATGGACACTTTAGGAACAAGTGTGGGGAATCAGAATGCAACCCGAAGTGTGCACTCGTTCACCAAAAGCCAATGCTTTTAAATCACTGAGGGTGAGTGAGCAAAGCACACTTTATGAAGAAGTGTAGGAATTCTGAAGGCGACCTTGGAGAACCCACCTTATGCCAGTCAGTCAGTCATTGTCAAGCCTTGAGCGTTGCAATGTGACATCCAGGTCCCATTCCTACAGATTAGGGATGTGACAAATGGAAAATGTAGCTTAAATGTTAAAACAGCAATTATTTTATCGTTTTTTCATTAAAACAAGAAAAATCGCCTCCCGAGTGGCACAGCGGTCTAAGGCACTGCATCGCAGTGTTGCAGCATCACTACAGCCTGGGGTTCAATCCCGCACAATTGGCCCAGTCGTCCGGGTTAGGGGAGGGTTTGGTCGGGGGGGCAGTACTTGGCTCATTGTGCTCTAGCGACTCCTTGTGGCGGGCCGGGCGCCTGTAGGCTGACTTCGGTCGTCAGAACGGTATTTCCTCCGACACATTGGTGCAGCTGGCTTCCGGGTTAAGCAGGTGGGTGTTAAGAAGCGCGGCTAGGCGGGTCATGTTTCAGAGGACACATGACTCAACCTTCGCCTCTCCCGAGCCCGTTGGGGAGGTGCAGCGATGAGACAAGATCGTAATCACAAAATTGGGGAGAAAAAGTTCAAATTAAATACGAGATAAATCATAAAACTCCACGTCAATTCACAATGCAGGATAATGGGCATATTACATATGTATGACCGCTAGGGCTGGGTAATGAAGTTATATCTACCACAGTCATATACCCTTGAAAGCGCCTCGGCTACGGCCTGTTTGTTTATAAGGGCACACTACGTCTTTTTAAATGCCGACACGAAACCTCCTCTGAACTGACATTTTACTTGTCTGTAAAGGAATGCCGCTTCAGAAACGGGACTGACGTTCATCACTAGGCGACCAGAACTGTCAATCACATAATCTCGAGCTGCCTGTGCCCAGACTACCCTCTCCTAAAAAAGCACTTAAAAGTTTGTTAAATACTGTGACTTACCAAGACATTTAGTAGAAAGAAAACATCTTCCGCTAGGAATCGACTCTTAAGATTCAGTAGTTTTGGAATGGAGGAGACTGATTAGTTGCCGAGAACACAAACACTTGCATATTTTCATAGCGAGCGAGGGACGGAGAGGGAGGGGTACAGTATAGGCAGGTTGGCCACCAGGCACACTGCGCACTAGGCCCATCTATCAGCAATCAAAAGCTGTAAAGCAGGGCCTAGAATATTGTAAACGCAACAGACCGAAGATTGAACACACACTGATCATTTTTCTTAATGTTAATGATCCCAATTTCGTTTAAACGTTCACAGCCCTACTACCTCTTTAAGGAATACCTGGAATAGTATAACAGTAATCCTTCTACCCCCCCCCCCCCCCCCCCCCCCCCATAAAAAAAATAACAGGTTGTCCCACTGGCTATCCTAAGTTGAATGCACCAATTTGTAAGTCCCTCTTAAATGTAAATATCTATCCTGACAGTCTGGAAGATGCCACACTGTCACACCATTAATAAGGCCAATTAAAGTTCCCCCAGCCATTTTTCCACCATTTTCACCCCAATAAAAAAAATTTAAAAAAGGGTTGGCCCCAATCCTCCATTGAAGGGCACAATTGGCCCTTTTTTCCCTTTTTGGGGGTTTTACTTTTTCCTCTATTTTTTCCCGCAGGCAATTGGGGAGACCGATGACAGAGTGCACCCATCAACCACTTCTTGAATGGCCTACTCCTTGAAGTTTGCAGTTGTCTCTAAAATTACATTATTTTGCCAAAAGGTATTTTTCACCCTTAGTGTGCGTACATTACTGTATTAATACTTGGATATTGTTTTTCAAAACGGAAAGTAAAAAAATTCGGAGTGGGTCTTAAATAAGTAGCCTGGCATTCAAACTGATATGCTTGTTTCACATCACGTTGGGCGCAGCGTTCAGTCTGGTTTCACCAAGCTACAGTGGGGGAAAAAAGTATTTAGTCAGCCCCCAAATTTG